ATATTAAAAGTATTATAGATTTTTATCTAGGTATTAATTTATTACTAAATCTTACCTATAAGTACTTATATCTATATAATTATATTATCTAGGTACCTGCCTATAAGTAGGTATTTAAAATAGGTATCTCTAGGTACTTACCCCTGTTAAATAGGTATCTATAGATACCTATAGGCTAGGTATTTTAAAGCCTGGTTAAGATTATAATACAGGGCAACTATAGGATAACTGTGGCCTATAAGGTTAAGCTTTAGGCTGCGAACACAGATAGTAAATAATAATACGATATTTCTTTTTCCCGATATAAGCTTTTACCTATAAGCTTTTACGATAACTAATAAATCTTATTATAAGCCCTAGGGCATTGCAAAGGGAAGAGACCAAGAGGTATATAAAGGGATATAACCTCGAGGTGATACAGGGCAAAGTAGGCAGTAAATTACGGTACACCAGTCTCTCTTTTCTGAACTCTCGTCAATCCTTGAATTACGCCTAATACACTGATATGGTCTATCTTTTCATGACATCAAGGAGTGTTGGTTTGAGTATTAACTAAAGTACCGCTAACCTGCTAAATGTATATATAACCTGGGAGCATTGAAATCTTGATAATGAAGGAATGTTACCCAAGAAAGGCTTGAATGTGCAACACCAATTTCGAATTCTCCTTTTTTTTCATTTGCAAAGCCCAACAATCAATGCCAATTTGTGGTATCCCTTTGCAATTGAAGCACCTTCCTACCCAGTCTATCTATCCAAGCCCCTCATGAGTCTTCCGCGTTGGTATTCATTCCCCGTGACTCAATATACTCCTGCCGGGTTTGAAATTCCCAGTTGGGGGCTACCATTATATCTTGGTATAGATCATGCGGAAAAGTAATGGCGCCCAAATCCTGCTTGCTCACCCACTTATCGAGGATGTTTTCCCCATGCCGTACCTTGGCATCCTCAACCAATGCGTCTACATCTAAAAGTACCCCGGGGTTGAAGTCGCACCGCAAGCTCGAGGTTTGGTTTACCAAAAGGTCAACAAGCTTCTCAAACCTCGGATCCTTTGCATATCTGATCGCGTTGTCGTCCCGTATCCATGGCCTCAGAGATGCCAAAAGCCCAGTGTCCAAGCAGATCTTCCAAGCCTTTGACTTGGAAATCTCTGTTTGGATGAATTTCTGGAAAAGATCAGCGCAGTATTCGCTGTGTTGCCCAGCTTCTAAAACAAAAGTGAAGCAACTGGTGTTAACGCCTGAGTCCACCACTGCGAAAGCATCAAGGAGCCAGTAGTGTATACTGGCCTCAAAGTCTCGGTGCAACATCTCTGCCGATGGAAGCATGTTCTCATCACCGTCCATGTCAGCGATAATGTTGTAGGGACGCTGGCTAAGTACACAGCCAAGAACACTGGCATGACGCTCGGCTCGAAGCAAGGGGTTCTCTTTCAAGAAGGGGATTAAACCTTGGGTATGACGAGACGGCAAATTAACGGATGGCAAATCCTCATGCAATACAATCTTTCTTATCTGCATCCTCTGGCTGATCGGAAGTCGTTGAAGAAAGCGAATTGCTGCAGCGGTGGCAGAAAACCTGAGCTTCTCACGACACCGACTGGTGAAGTGCTCCAATAAGTTATCCGGTTTCTCAAACTCTGGAGAACGTCGATCTTGCGGAACGCCTTTGCCAACTTGATCGTAGAAGCTGAGCGGTGCGTAGTACCAGGTAGCTGGAAGGTCCCAAACAAACGCCCCAATCTCAAACAACTCAAGCATTTGGGCAACTCGCTCCTGAGAAGGGATGTCCCACAAGTTGAATCTTAGGTTGATAAAATCTTCGGCGGGGCGACTTCCAATCCAGTGCGGGAGCGACTTGTATACATATGTCGCAAACTCATCAGGTTGTGCCTCCGAGATAAGTTTTAGACAATGCCCTGTTGCGTCCCGCAGCTCGCCTTGGGCCCATTCCGGCCGCTTTTTTCGCTCTGCTAAAACACTGCAGACGTTTGCATCGGCTTCAGTGTGGAGAAGGCGAAAGTCAAGGCGGCCTAGAAACGGCCCATTCATCTTGAACAAGTCGACCCTTTTCAAAAATTGTCGTACCATGCTGCACACGGCAGGTCGCTTGGCTAGCAACGTGGCAGTCTGGAAAAAGTATCCAGGGTCGTTGTTCTCATGTATCCATCTCTCGTGGTCGCCGAGCGCAATCTCAAGTTTTTCCTGAAAGCCCGGGCATACTAGGTCTAGCTCGGCGTACATCTCATGGGTGATGAAATGAGCTAAATGAAACACAAAGTCTTGCTCCAGTACGTAGTGAGTAGTAGCAGCAAGAGCGAAGCAGCCAGCCAAGTTACACCAGTCTTGACGGAAGACAGTTGAGAACCGGATAGTATTGACTGCCAGTGGCATCGCCCTCGTGTCATTTGCGATCGACCGGCAAGTATAAAGAAGGGATAGATCAATCGCGTTCCCGTCGGCATTTGTCAGTTTGTCGGTCTGAACATCATAGACATAGCCCCCGTCTACCTCTAGACACTCTCTGAAGATTTGCTGACGAATCTCAGAAGGCAGGCTTGTGAGGGTTTTCGGAGCCATGATGGCGTAGGTGACGATGCAAGGGCAAAGTCGAGGATCAATGGTATTGAAAGCTCCAAGACTTTGGAGGGGCGGGCGGGGTTTTATAGCTGGCAGTGTGGAGATCATGAGTCATGCAATGCGGCCAATCACATGAATGAGTCAGATAGGCTTTTCACGGAAGCAGGAGAGAGGAGACCAGAGAGTTTTGCGACCCATAGCACAATCTATTTTTTTCCCTTCCCGTCAGCCTTGTAAGGCCATCGAGCTTTTAGCTTTCATACGGAGGCTTAAACAGTGAGGCCCCTATAGCAGGCCAGTATCTCAAAACTCAATATCAGTAAAGGTTTATCTGCCTTGGTGGCGGCAATTGCTGCCTTGATCGAGCAGTATAAATACCGCCTGTAGGTCCACTATTGGTCAGCTACTTGTCATGAGATACGAAAGTGGCGTGGCACGTACTTACCCCTCGGCAGCTGCGTCAGGTCCCTTCCTTCATCCCACCCACAAGACTAAGACACTGCAGGTCAGCTTCTAGCCCAACAGGCAGAGAGAGGGAAAGCATGCTAACTCTTTGATCGACCTTTATAACCTTTATTATAACCTTTATAAAGGTTATAATCGAAAGGAGATTAGGCAAGAGCTTATACATAAGAGGTATAAAAGAATATACTTACATACCGCAGCTGGTGCATCCATCACACTTCCACTCAAAGGTCAGTCAGACCCTGACCAAGTAAGAGATCAAGCGCAAACTTACAAGTACGTTCCCCGACCTGACTTTCCCTCGACTGGGTCAGTTCACCTTCAATAGCAGTTGCCTCTGTAACTTACATACCTGTTGGTCACAGTTGCTAACATCAATCATAGCCACCGACACGATGCCTACTGCTAGTAAAGCTATGGTCAGAAGAGTGTAGAATACTAGAGAAAGATGGGCTTCTACTTACTACGCCGGAGCCTGCAGACCGATCAGGGCTATTGCACAACCAACCACGACCTTATCGATGCGATCGAACCGGTACTAAGGCAGGCTGATGGCAACGATTGCCGCGAGCTTCGTACGATAGCTGCAGCCATTATGAAGAACTTCTCGTCAAGAAGCCCGTCCAGCCTAGTCACTGATGGCAGAGGCTATTAGTTTCGAAATACAGAAGTTTTAAATATGACTTACAGATGGCTGTTTTTGACTGCACCCTGATCGACGTGATCCATCGTACGGATCAGGCTCGCCTCAGTCATCCGATAAATCCGGTCTGGCTGGCCAGGGAGCTAGCCGGACTGAAGAACCTAGAAAAGGCTATAAGGGAAGGCTTGCCCCTTGATACAGATAGGGCAGCTTTCGTTACGGCGTTGACAGGTCTGCTAAATGTTATTAGCTACAGGTATAGTATAACAAGGTAGGGAAGTTACAACTCAGGCCTGTACGAAGAGTGGCTGGTGAACGTGATCATCGAGGCCGAATGTGTAGTCTGCTTCCTCCCGCTCGTACGGGATGAACTAGAAATAATACTAAGTTAGTATAAGGTCGATTTATAGGGATGACACTCTGGTTAAGTACTATACAGGCCAGGCTCATAGTCTGAGACCATAAGAGCAAACTGCCGAGATGGCTCTGGTCAGTGGTAGTCTGGCAAGAGGAAAGGAGAAGGGCTTGCATAGGCTTACGGACAGCGTGTCTGCGAACAGAGTTCTGCTGGCCAGCGAAAGTCAATTGCTGAAGTGGGCAAGGTATGGAGAGGAGGAGATGGGACATACAGATGAACGCGGGGTAATGGCGGGGTTCTGCTAAGACATGTCAGCCATGAGACGGACCGAGAGGTTGAGTGAAGCCTGGAGGAGGAGGAGGAGGGGTGCCCTACGGACCGAAGGTTCTGTCGAAGTTAGAATCTGGCGCTGTCAGGCGAAGTCAGAGGAGTGAAGACGAGGGGTAGCGCACGTACTGAAGGAATTGGGTTGACTCTGCTGGTTCAGGATAGTGGTTAGTGACTGGATCGTGATGATGAGGTGGTTAGGGGGGCTCGCTTACTTTGTGTAAGTTAGTCGGCGAAAGTCAAATTGACCTGAGGTCAATGACGACTAGCTTAAGTAAGTTGGACCAGAGTCAAACAGGACTGACGAGAGGACATACCTCCATCAATTGAATGCACGTGCCGAAGCACGTGACCAACCGACCTTGCGTCCGAGAACTGTGCATCGAGTTAGTATCCGCTGATGAAGATGGTGAACAGTGTGACGTACCAGATAAAGTGATATCAGTGAAGAAGCAGTGGTTTAAACTGGGGAGATCCCTCTTCAGATGTTGAATCCAGAGAGAAATCCCGAGGGCGTCGTATAGATAGAGAGAATGAGTAGGGCATCAAAGGGATGCAAGGAGTGTGTAGTGGTGACTCTTGTATGAAACCTCGGGACTTAAACATTGCCAAAGGATGTGGAGTAGTCTTGTAACACAGTCTGACAAACTCGGTCTCATCTATACCCAGGGTGAGGAGGGAATTAACCTCCTCTATCTGGGATGTAGAACATCGAGTCCGCCTGGGCAAACACGAACTGGCCGAGGTTGAAGTAAACCATGGCCCAGTCGGCGGCGAACTTGAGGTGGGTAGTGAGCAACGTCTTCCAGTTGAGTGCTCCAATGCGCTCTATTAACCTTAACCTTGCGGCATGAAGGTCTGAGCAATGCATGAACAGGTGATAGACGGTCTGAGTATGATGACCGCACGAGCATGCTGGCTTGATGGGATGTCTGATAACGTCCTCGGATCCTGGAACCTTGACGTCTCTGGTTGCTTTGATGCTGCTCAGGTATCCGTTGAGCCCAATGCGCTCGGTGCGCAGCTGTATTGCAAGTGTAGATTGCGGACGAGTGAGACCCTTGTAGTAGCTCAAGCTTATTCGACCTCGCTTCTCCTCGATGGCTGCGGGACGGTGCGTCGTGCGAACTTTAGCAGTTCTCTTGCGACGGTAGGTGATCCAGGCAGAGGCGCACTTCGCTTCTGCTTCCCACTTTGCTTGGCTCTTAACGGCAGCGTTGCGTTTGGCTGGGACTTTCCAAGCCTTCAATGCCTCTTCATCGGTGCCTTTATGGCGCTTGCGGAAATACTTGGCCGACCTGCCGGCCAACCGGTATGCTTCTTCGTCGAGTATCTGATACCCGGTGACGTTATAGTTCTTGTCCTTGGGCGTCTTGAATGGTTTCTCAAACCACACATCCTTGTTGCGAACCTGGAGATCCCTAGCTCGTGAAGTCATGGACATGCGACACAGAAACTCGCGAATGCCCTCGATGTTGAGGTCCTTGAGAATCTGGTCACCGCAGGTACCACGAATACCCCCCGATATCAGTAGCAGACACTTGTACTCTAATTTCTCAAGTCTCCCAATTTGCTTCGGCTTAAGGGACCATGGTATACGTCGACCTGGGCAGTGAAGAAACCAGGCAGCGCATGCGTGCGATATAATGGGTCGAATCTTGGACATGTAGAACGTCCTCGCCTTGTTGAGCCGGATACCCGAAGTCGGCCGTGAAAGGATGCGGAAATGTCGTATTGCGTTGTTGGCCTTCTTCTCAAGGTTGGAGATGTGATGAGCAAAGGTGAGAGCCGGATCCACAACGACTCCGAGGACCTTGAGCTTTTCTTCCTTGAGTGCTTCAGGGTTGTCCTTGAGTCCATCAATATCTGGAAGAAGCTTGCAGGGAGGATCCGGGTCGTTTGGAGCCCGGAAATGCATGACGCTATACTTGTTCGGTGAAAATGTCAGGCCGACGGATGAAGCCCATTTATCGATCTCATCATGAAATATCTTCAACCCCATGCAGTTCTTCTCATAAGAGTTGGAGACGGCGAGGAGATAGGTGTCATCAACGTACGAGAAGGAAACGATTCTGATACGGTGCTTGCCAAGTTTTTCTCTGTCCTCGTTGATTTTCTGGAGAAGAGGTGCAGTAAAGATGAGGAACAGTAACGGGGAAAGAGGTGAACCTTGCGGAATGCCAATAAGCATATAGAATCCCACTGATGTGCTCTCGGGTAGCTTGAGCTTAACGATCCGGTGGGAGAAATACGAATGCATTATTCGAAGGAAAGACTCGGGCACTCCAAGGTCTGCAAGCATCTGTAGGAGTAGTGCAGGGTCGACGCAGTTATAGGCCCCAGATACATCTAGACCCATCATGGTCACCTTCTCCCTGATAAACTTCCAGCGTTTCTTGAACTTTTTGCTATACTTCCGAGACCAGGCCTTATGAATAACGCCTATCATGCTTTCAATGGCATGTGTAGTAGACTTCCCAGGTGCACCATACTGGGTCTCAGGAAGTAAGTTATAGTCCACAACAAACTTCTTGAGACGTTCGGCAAGAATCTTCTCAAAAAGCTTCGATAAAACGGAGAGAAGTGCAATAGGGCGCCAGCTGTTAACTGTGTCATAGCTATCCTTCCCTGATTTCGGAAGCATTGCGGTAATGGCGGTTTTGAATGCTTCAGGGAAGATACTGAGTTTGAGTAACGCATTGATCAAACGTGCGATAGAAGGGGCAAGCTCTTTGTAACCCATCTTGAGTTGCTCGATGCAAATCAGGTCATGACCCGGAGCCTTCCGGCTAGGCTGCTTCCTGATGAGAATCTCAATATCTTTGGGTGTGACGTGTTTCTCGAGGAAACGTCGCCGCCGTCGATTCAAAGTCCCGGTGGCGTTCAGTGTAGGGAACGGAATCTCAACTGGGTGATCGAGATCGCTGGTTCTTGTCCACGTCTTGCATCGTATCCTATTCTGCTTTGCTTCCTCACTGAAGAAAGTGGGGACGCCGTTGTCATCGGACAGCGCCGGCATGGACTTCACAATCCGGTCCTGTGACATTCTGGCTGCTAACTTGGTCTGAAACCAAAGGGCATCCATTGACTCGCCTGTTTGTTGAAGGTACTCATGCCAAGGAGTTCGCTTCTTTGGTGGCGGCTTGAAGTCGAGTTCGGAAGCCGGTATATTGAGCTCAACGCCGCCCCCAAGCAGTATCTGTCTGAGATGAGGGTCCATTGGTTTCCGTGCTGGTGGCGGGTTCACGAGCCGCTTCGGGGTCGTTTCCGTTGAGGCGGCCGAGATGAGAGCGACAAGCGCTGGCACGAACTTCTTTACATCGTCCTCAGTGTCAAGCGGCATTTCCTCCAAATGAGGTAAGTTCTCCTTGAGGGCGGCGGCAAACACTGCAGGTTTGACCTTGTTGTGCAAAAACTTCTCTGTGTTGTCTCTGTATGGCGTAATGTTGAGCACTGTTCTAATGGGACGATGGTCGCTCTTAGGCCAAGGATTATCTGCGAAGACACCCCAATGAGTAACCTGAGAGCGTAGGCAGTCACTGACGAAGGTGGGGTCGATGCATGAAGCAATATCATGGTCATCGCCTTCGCCCCTAGTACATGTGATAGTACCTTGCTTGGTCAAGAGTGCCATGTTGGCCTTCGTGATCATCTCGTGCGCTAGCAACCTGCCGGCTGGGGTGTCCCGAGACGGGGTGAGCAGCTCAGGCCCAGTCCATAATAGATTGTGCAGGTTGAAGTCTCCCATGACAATATTGCGTTTTTCGCGGTTGGTCTGCTCAGCCATGAGCTCAATATCAAGCTTCATGTTGTCTTGATTGACATTGTACACGGAGTGGATCGCAATTGGACCGTCTGCCGTCGTTAAATGAAGGGTTGCCAGCATGTCTTTATTGGGACCTTCATGATACTGAATATTCCATCGATCCCTCGGGATTGATTTGTGGATGAAGAAGAAGACACGACTGAATCGCACCGGCTCCACGTCGTTGTCATTGTCTTTCTTGGTCTTTTTGTTCTTGATCTTTTTGTTCTTGTTCTTTATCTTTTTGACGGTTTTGCGTTCGCGATTTGGATCGTCGGGGTTATCAGTCTCAACAAGCGCCCGGGATGGGCTCATGCTCAGGTAGTAGTCCTGGCTATTCCGCCATGCGGTCCGAGGGGACGGGTCGCATCCGCATACGATGTCGGCTGTCCCACCGTTGCGTCCTTCACGTTGGTACGCGAGAAAGTCTTTTCCACGTGCCCAAGAGTTTTTGAAGTTTGCTTGATCGATGATCAGCTGACTCCGGGCCAGAAACTCTTGTTCCTGTGTCTTGAAACGCTTCTTACGCCGCTGAGACTTTCCCATCGTTGCCGGCGCTTGTTAAGCTTGGGCAATGTCAAGGCTAAGTACGAGGAGCAATAAGGATAGGCTGTGAGTTGGTGCGGCGAGTGGGAGGGAGGAGGTGATCGAGGGTGAATTGATGGAATAAACCAGGAGGCTCTCGTTGATTGAGATGCTGAAATAGGTTTCAAATTTAAACGAGTATGAGTAGCTTTGTGGTTTCACCAAACGAGAGACGCCGAAAGTAAAGAATAGAGGAGGGGGGCTGGTTTGGGTATGCCTTGGGGAGCAAGAAAACACCAGACCTTGATATAGGGTGTCAAAATGAACTTAGCAAGGAGCCCCCTAAGCTTATGCTAGATTTACCTAAATATTTTTATCGCTTAGGGTTAAGGGTCTGTGTTTTCTTTCCTCCCCTAGGTATGGAAGCGTCATGTGTGTGTTCATACGTAGACCATACTATTATTGTACGGTTTCTCAATGCATTCCTCTTTCCTCATCACATGAGACCCCAACTGCCGCTCGTAATCTCGCGTAAAGAAGAATCGTACAATGCAAGCGCCGCAGGTAGCCAGTCTTGCAACCCCTCGTGTCGTGGGTACCAGAGCATCGCCCGCACACCATGACGCTGACGGTGCAGTCCTCCTTGAAGTGGCCTGTCTTCCAGCATCTGTAGCAAAGCAGCGGCGTACCTTGAACGCAAAATGGTCTAATTGAAGCGGTTAGCTCTTGTCAAGACCAATTTTAAAGGCGTAATCTTACACAATCTGGTAGTAATGGTCAAATATTTTCACGCCTGTTAAGCAAAGTCGACTGACAACATCGAAGGACTGGGTTTTGAGGAGCATGCGATCGTAGGTTACCTTCGCTTTGAGATCCTTTACTCCCAGGGTCTTTAGGAGGGCTTCTTCCAATGCTTTATCCCCCATGTTGTTGTTGTTGCCCAAGTGTGGCACCAGATGCTCAACGTGCAGAGTATAGACTGGGGAAAGACAAAAGACACCGTGCTCAAGACCGAAAAGCTCGCTGATCTCCGAGATGTGGTCTCGCATGTGTTTCTCTGAGTCCCTAGTCAGGAAATTGATGAGGACTTGGGGTTTCTGATCTGCTGTTTTGGGTGGCTTCAGCTTGATGTTTTCAATCTTCCAGCCGGAGCCCTTTTCGCGAAGCTTTTGGGCGATCTCAGTTGGGTTCATTGCGTACAGCCCTTGGAAGTCGACCGGGTCCATGACGAGGGTGATGAAGCCCGTTTCGTCATCAATTGCACCATCAAGGTTGGCGAACATCCTATCCTCGAGGCGATGCAGGTTGCCTTCCAGGTTGACAATACGCTCATGAATCTTGCTGAGGTAGCACTTAATGGACTCATCAGACTCTTGGGCGGTGCCTTGGATGGAGTGCTTGAGGAGTTTGATCTCCTCTTCGATGTTGAGGAGGCGCCCGTTAAAGACGTCCAGAGCCTTGATGTTAGTATTATGTTTAATGATAAAAACGATGAGTCAGTCAAGGCTTAGTTTCTATCAGAAACACAAGCTTGATATCACGGCGAGCATAATACGAGATTCGGTTTCATAAGCAATAGAACTTCAATACAAAGCGTCTAGAGTAAAAGGAACTATTTAGGCTAAGAACCAGAGATATGCAACGAGCTTGAGTCTTAACCGGCGAGACCGCTCTTTTATATCGTGCGATAATAGAACCAAGGCGACTTCAAGTCGCTAAAAAAGGCTACACAAAGAGTCTTAGCTAGGCTTTATACTTAATGAAATCAAGTAGGGTAGGTATACTCACAAGTCCAAAGTGATTGTACTACAAGAAGTGAAGCCAGAGATTCAAGGTATTACGCAGTGGACGTAGATAACTTATTATGTTCTCCAATTTTAGAGTCAACGGTAGAAAGCGAGACGTTAGAACGGAGAATATTCGGGCTTGTATAGTGAGGGTTTTGGGAACGATAAGGCTAAGACTCTTGAGTTTGTACGTCGGAGCATCCATACCTATAGATAAGAATAGCCCATACAAGCATAATCATATCTTGGCGACCTATGAGCTTTAGCGGAAGCAATTAATTTTCGCTTTTGCTCTGATGTGCCTTCCTCTGTAGATTCTCAATTTTACGCGTACGCAATTGTGGTCTTTGCTGTGATTCGTCAAAGTCGCGCCTGACTCATCAGCAAAACAGCACATCGCTCATCCAATTTCGCAACACTTCTTTCCACTGCCTAGACGGAGGAAAAGCGCGCCAATCAATGTAAATTGGTACATTTCCACGATTGTTTCTCATAGTTCACTCTTCTGACGCTTCCGAATGGCCTCATTCCTTCGAACAATACCTTGGCCTGGCCGGGCATGGAAGCCTCTGGTTTTCTCGAATCCCAGTTTCCAAAGAATCCCTGTCGAGGAAAGGATAGAGGAAGAGCGGTTCCCTGACTAAGTCGCGTCTCGCTACTATCCAGTCAGGATTGGGGAAGTCCTGCGCGACCGCTACCAGGTGGTCGGGAAATTAGGCTTCGGAGCCAGCTCGACCGTTTGGCTGGCGCGCGACCTGGAGTAAGTCTACCCCAGTCTTTGATGAACAACGGTGTATAGAATGCATTTCATTTGGTCAACGAGTTCGATATCTCGTAGGATAGATCTAAGCTACTCGGCCAAAATAGGTCACTGCTAATATCAAGTAGTGGACGTCGACATGTCGCGCTAAAACTCTTCATTAACAACCAGTCTATGGGACAACAGCTGGATAATGAGCTCGAAATGTACAAATGAATCTCTGCCTCTTCGTCAAAGCATCCTGGTCGCAGCGCGGTGAGAGAACTACTTGCCTCGGTCGACGTTGCTGGCCCTGATGGATCTCATCGATGTCTTGTTCATCCCCCGCTCTGGGAGAGCATGTGGACATTCCTTAACCGCAATCCAGTAAGAAGACTCCCTCCCGTGGTTGTCGCTGTTACTTTGCGTCGACTCTTTCTCGCACTCGATTATCTTCATACAGAGTGCAACGTCATACATACAGGTACTGTTACATAGTCCTCACCCGAGCTAGAATACTTTCTTACCCTTGCCGCACAGATATCAAAGGAGACAATATCATGTTCGGTATTTATGACGACTCAGTATTCACGGCGTTTGAGGAGGAGGAGCTCAGCAACCCAATTCCACGAAAGGAAGTAGACGACAGAACTATATACATATCACGAGAACTCCGAAAGCCCAAGGACTATGGCGGGCCAGTTCTATGCGACTTTGGCTCAGCTGTTCCAGGTGATGTAGAACATTGCGAAGATATCCAACCAGACATTTACAGAGCGCCCGAGGTCATCCTTGAAGCCCCTTGGTCATACAAGGTGGACATATGGAACGCAGGGTGCATGGTAAGCCACTCAGAGGATTCTTGGGTGCACTGAAACTGATTCCTTTCGGCGACAGATTTGGGATATTTTTGAAGGTCGGCACATGTTTACAGGGCATGACCCCGAGTTCCAGAAATACCGCAGCAGGGCACATCTCGCCGAGATTATTGCGATGCTCGGCCAGCCTCCATCCAACGTCCTTGAAGCCGGCAAAGCCAGTCACAAGTTCTTTACAGGCACCGGTAAAATCTTTTTGCCTTCCATCATACATATTTCCCTTTACTGATCAGCTATCACTCTAGGCGACTTCCGTAATGACATAGAGCTTCCCGAAAGAACTTCCCTTGCCCAGCATGAAATCAGTCTTGAAGGGGAGCGAAAGGAGATGTTTCTTGCTATGATGAATAGGATGCTTCAGTGGGATCCGGCTCAGAGGTCATCGGCGAAAGAGCTTGCTGAAGATCCGTGGATCATGGCCTATATGTTAGACGGCTAGGCACATGTAAATGGCAGGGGACTCCGTTTAGGACCAGCCTTCCTTTATCATTCAGGTTCCGCTTGCTTTGTAGAGCAATTAATCTTATCAACATCGTAATGAAAGCTTTGGCATAGCTTTGGCAGAATGCTGCTTGGGGTGTTATCTCTTAGAGATAATTGGATCATCAAGACTCACCGATGCCCACTAATCAAAACCAGAAACGCTTCAACGCCACAGGGCTACAAGCAGGTCAAACGGAGGAGCTACTAAGATAGAATAAGGTCTCGACGTTGTAAATAAACAGCCAACATTCCCGTTCTAGTTCTGGCTAAATGGCCCAGGCCGCAGCCAAAAGCTTGAAAGTAAGGGGACTCATTTCGCGTCCCCCACAGTGGTCAGACTTAGACTTTGAACTTGCACAGGTCTCAAGCCTTTTCTGTCTACAAAAGTCAATCATTAACCGATGCTGAAAGCAGAGAGACCTATTGCATAAGCAAGGACAAGCTTAATGCAGAAGCATAAAGAGGCTTGCAGCTAAACCACAGTATCAGTAGGCAGTGGAATGCAAGCTGTACTATTGCTTATTCCAGGAGAACACTATTGGATGCACCAATTCTGGAACCTGAGACATTAAAAAGCAGAAAAGGGTGACTGGCATTTGCCGCAAACTCTAAGCTGGGAATAGTTAGACGAGCTCAAGCTTTTGCCAAATTAGGTAAGTGAACATTTGCTGCTAACAATGCGGTCTCTTGAAGACGACCAAGTGACAAAGGTATATTCTCACCAGCATATTTACTAAACTTCTACCAATATCACCACTTCATAAGCACCACAAACATGCATCTTCTCTATTTTCTCTTGTTCATGTCAAACTTGGCCCGGGCTACGCCTGTAACTCTTGGGGACTCTTCGCTCAACAGCCTTTCCAAGCTCCTAGACGATGATTTATCCCTGTCGTTGACGACCCTGATTTCTTTAACTTGGGTCATGGAAACACAAAAAGTCAAAATAAGCACGAAAAGCGCGCGGGACCTCCTTACTACCTTCCCTACGTGTTATGGAAGGTCACTTTTGAACGGAAAAAGGGGGACGCTGGCGACTTCAAGCAACCGGGCTGGGTAATCGGCTTTTCGGGGGCTTCTGGTCGCTGGGGAGACCGGTCGGGCATCCCATGGGATTTTACTATTGCGCCCGGAGAACATCAGCCATACAAACTGATGGGCGCGGACAACGGACAGATGTATTACACTACAAACTCATACTTCATACCCATGATGCAAGCAGCCCCCCCCGTGGCGACTGGCCGAACACACACCCCATATACTAGTTGGGTGACTACAGGGTTAGGATTTAAGTTCAATATCATCAGAACCCCAAACGATGAATTGGCTCGAAGCAACTATGGCGCCAGACTCAGTATCCCGGGTAGAGGCTTTAAACCTACTAGCGGATATCTCATCCTGAACTTCCAGCGTAATTTCTCCGGCGTGGCTGATCTCAGTAACGGGCCATTAAGATATAACGTAAACATCACGGGAGTGTTAATTGAGAAAGGAAAGGTCTGGGTTTAGAAACTGACTAGTTATCTATACTTTAGTATCAATACTCACACTATTTGCATGCATCTTGGAGAATGACTTCTTTTCTCAGACGTTCAAACAGTAAGCTTCCTATAGCATGCGGCCATCGCAGAAGTCGAAATCATACAAGGTTCACCTGCCTCAATTGCGCAATTTCTGCCTTAACTAATCTGTGTTACTAGCAACTATAGGTTAACCAATACTCAGCTCCTTCATTCTGCTTAGAGCACCAAGATACCGGCGGTTGGTCACTAGTACGGGAGGAAAGGGAGAAACTGTATAATGTCTAATCTATTTGTCATACGTCTACTTGAAGGTATCCCCAAGCCCAACTTTGCTTACCTTCCTTCTGCAATCGTCAGCTCGAACGCAAAGGCCGTCATAGGATCTTGATGCTTCATCCTCAACCTCAGCTTTCCCTCCTTTACGACCTCTTCTCTCTCTTCAAGATCATGTGGTCCATCAACGCGCCTGAACTTATCCCCGTCAACAACCCGAAACGCCAGCGTCTTGACCTTGACTCGTGTATCATCTGTCAGGCCAACTACATCAATCGTCCAATGCCCTGGTCTTGAACGAGTACCCGCCAATATGCGCACAACGTCTCCCTCAATAGTCGCATAAACATCGAGCAATCTATCTGAACTAGCACTAGTCTTTAGACGCTGGCCCTTCATGCGGGAGGCGTAGTACTTGTAGACCTGAAACTCTGCTGTTGGCCAGTATCCTTCGCCGTCGATGGCGTAGCTACCGTCACTGCTGTTTGGCTTGCTCAAAAGACCTGGTATCATCAGTATCTAAATCACGGTGATATTCGACGGACTTACCAGCCATAAAGTCATGCAACGCTCCAGCGATAGCCCAATTTCCTCTAAGACCATGTGCATTCTCTCGCTCAAGACCAGCAATCCACCACGCACCCGCAGAAGGAACTTGTTCTCCATAAACAGCATACTCATTGATGTTCACGTCCTGGGCTTTTTCGAGAGGGATGTCATGCTTGGATAGCAAATCGTGGAATGAGGCCATAGAGCTCGCCATGGTGACTGCTTCATCGCCGCCCTCCATATGCCAGGACCATTGATCCGGGAGGCTGTCTTTGCAGCGAGACAGGAAGGCCGACCACCATTCGTGCGATGCTGAAGGAATGGCTGACATACTTGGACCAGAGATCCGAACAGATAGAAGTACTTCTCTGCGAAGATGTCAGAAGGAATTCAGGTACTTGGTGAGCAACATACCGAATCTTGTTGAACGAGCGAGTCCAGAGCTGCAACCACTGCTCCATCGACCGGTTCCAAAAGAAGCTCAGATCCGGTTCATTCCAGATATCCACAACAAGGCCCTCAATCATATCTGACTTCTTGACATCGTCGAGCGTACGTTCAAGAAACGCATCCCAACCTGTCCAATCATCGTCGTCTCCCGGGTACGCAAAGCCTTCCGACTGTCCACCATCAGCACCCCAAAGAGCGGGAAGCAAGTAAATGAACTCGCCGCCGTGTTTCCGAGTAGTTCTGTAGTTACTCAACGCCGAAGCAAAGCGAGCCTAGTCATGTTAACATGTGTACTCAAGATCCTTGGATATCCTCACCTTGTAGTCGTCGAGACTGACGGCGTAGCCTTTGGTTCCGGGCAACTGAGATCCACCACCGCGACCATAATTGAACCCAATGTCTTTGTAGAAGTGATCAGGTATCTGATCAGGTCTATCCGGTATGCCATACAGAATACCAGAGGCGAGATGACGAGGCGGTCCTGTTTGAACGGCGACGTCTACTGTTGCGACACTGACAACAGGTTCTTTGACCTTGTCAACCTCTGACGGCAGGCTTCTCAGCATGGACATGTACTCTTCTGGCATTTTGGCGATGGTTTCCGTTTGTTTGCTTGCGCTTGTGCTTGGTCGTGTGACTTGAAGTGTTCAATGCTGAGGTATATACCCATGAAGCAACAGGCACTAGCCTGTAATGGGAATTCCGGTGGGATGTGAAAATTTGTACCGACTTGAGATAGAGTTAAGTTTAGAGTGATTTTCTGACGGCTTTGACACAAATGCTCGATTCTGAGCCAAATCTCGGAATGCTGGTTCCCATTTAACAGCCATTTCCCTTCCACCGGAGCGTCGTGACCCGTGATGTCGCGATCAGTGAACTAACACCTCCACTCATTCTCCGGTGGGAGACTAGCATCGATTGGACCGCAAAGTAGCATCAACCCCCCGCAAGGATCATCCAAACCTAATCTTCATACTTATCCCCACGGGGTAGACAATCTTGGCACGATGTTATAAACACGCGACGATCCTTCAATTCCCCCCATCTCATCACCATTCTTCACAATGTCTCTCCACCAGAAACAAAACGTCGACCACATCGAACAAGATGTCACCTCCCAGAAAGAATGGAGCCACGTCCAAGGCGAGCAAGGCGCCTCCATCGACCGCAACATGTCCCTCTGGCAAGCTATAAAAGCCTACCCGGGTGCCATAGCATGGTCATTCCTCCTATCGTCGTCCATCATCATGGAGGGGTATGACATTGTCCTCATTGGCAATCTCATGGCTCAGCCGGCTTTTCAGAAGGCTTATGGTGATTGGTACGGCGATAAACTCGGATATCAGATTTCCGGGCCGTGGCAGGCTGGTCTTGGGAATGGAACTGCTGTTGGGACTATCATTGGTGCTTTTGCTAATGGTTGGCTCACGGAGCGGTTCGGATACCGTCGTACGCTTGTTGCGTCTCTTGTCGCTGTCACGGGATTCATCTTCATTACTTTCTTTGCGCATGATCTTCCGATGCTTCTTGCGGGATCTATTCTCTGCGGTTTACCCTGGGGCGTTTTCGCAACTATGGCTCCTGCCTACGCCTCAGAGATCTGTCCCATGGCTCTTCGTGGCTATCTCGCCAACTACGTCTGTCTCTGCTGGGCTCTCGGCCAACTCCTCGCCGCTGGCGTCTTGTTCAGCTTTTCCGACAACGCAACCCAATGGGCGTACCGTCTTCCCTTTGCGATTCAGTGGATCTGGCCTATTCCTCTCATCATCATTCTCTGGTTCACACCTGAATCTCCGTACTGGTTGGCCAAGAAGAATCGTCTTGATGAAGCAAAGGGTGTTCTGAGACGTATTTCGGCGAAGAGCAGCAAGACAGATGAGGATCTCGACAAGCAGCTTGCAATGATTGTTCATACCAACAAGATCGAGAGTGAACATACCAAGGGCTCAAGCTACCTTGACTGTTTCAAGGGCATCAACCTACGGCGCACTGAGATCGTTTGTCTTGTCTTTGTCGCCCAGAACACAACTGGCGTTGGTATCGGCGGTACACCTACCTACTTCTTCGTCCAAGCCGGCGTCGATGCCAGCAACTCCTTCAAGTTCGCAACCGGTGCACTTGGCCTGGCTTCAGTCGGCGTCATCATCTCCTGGTTTCTCATCTACCGCATCGGCAGAAGAGCGCTATACGTCTGGGCCTGCGGAATCTGTACAGTACTTATGCTCATCATCGGTATTCTCGCCAGCGTTCCCCAGACTCAAGCTGTTAGCTTCGGTCAAGCTGGTGTTGTCCTGATTTGGGAGATCGTGTTCTACGCCACCATCGGACCTGTTTGTTACGCCATCATTGGTGAGATTCCTGCCGTTAGTGTTCGCAGTAAGAGTATCTGTCTTGCTCGAATCGCCTACTACATCTCGCAGATCCTCAACGGCACTTACGGCCCTTACATGATTAATCCTACAGAGGGTAACTGGAAGGGCAAAGTCGGCTATTTCTGGGTGAGTATCGGAACTTCCATGTTCGTTTCATCTCTGACATTATCTAGGCTGGACTTTCTCTGTTGACCTTCACTTGGGCCTACTTCCGTCTTCCCGAAACAAAGGTATGCGCTTGGATTGAATGATGGTGATCGATTGCTGACATGCACAAGGACCGAACCTTTGAGGAGATCGACATCCTTTTCGCCAACCAGACTGCTGCTAGGAAATTTGCTGATACCAAGGTCGATGCCTACGCTGATGATTCTGAGGGGCGAATCATCAAAGAGACTGATGTCTGATGTCTGGTATTGCCGAAGTGATGGCGGCAGGACGTGGGGGATGGTCGCGTCAATACGTGGTCTTCGTTTAGTGTCTAGAAGCTCTATATCTCTTGATGCATTGACGTGAGACATTGCAAGTCTGCAAGTCCTCGGAAAATTTGAGACTTGTATTTGTAACAAATGCGATACCTTGATGAACCTCATGCCGGAACCTGGTCACTTATTGTCTATTACTGGTACAGTCACGACAGTTCAATTATACTATGTCATCACCTTATCGGTTGCAATTCTCCTCTTGCAAATTGGACCCAAGCATCTCACTCAGTAGTCCCCAATGACGTCGCTACTTACACGTGATGCCTCAGTAGATTCGCTCTCGGTTACCCATACTAGTACGTATACCATAGCCATCCAGCCTCATGACTTCACAGCTCCGACCACCATCTAGTTTAGGCTCCAATCATCGGGTAATTGATTTGACAGGTCCAAACTATAGATCTGACCCGTGCAGATGATATCATGGCTTGTCATGACATCATAGATCTATAATGAATGTTACAATGGCTATAAGTATCGGCCACCGAATATACACTGATCACTGTCGCCATAATTACACGCATCAATCATTCTTACAACCAATATAGATACAATCAGCTATATCCTTATCAATCAATTTCCATCATCAACATGTCTGACAAGCCCGCCACCAACCTCGCCAATACCGTGCCCAAAGCCATGGATGAGCAAGGCAGCGTTGGCAAACAATTCACAGGTATGAATTTTACTAGCTGATAAGCAAGATTTCTAACATCTAAGACAGAGAATGGAGCTATCGGAGGAACCGCGCAAAAGATTGGTGGCCCGTTTGATAAGGAAGGCGTGATTGGGAAGCAATTTACGACGGAGGGAAACATTGGAGGCACAGTTCAGAACAATATGGGAGGAGAGAAGAAGGCATGAGTAGCTAATCAATGTTAGTCGTCATAAATGAGCGTGATTCATTTAGTAGCCTTTCCATAGGTTGTGGTGAAGTTGTGATGCTATTGCCATGACATTAACTATAAGAAGGCGATGTCCCGCCAGTCAATACGTTTTAATTAAATGTCAATCTCCCTTCTGCTTCAAATGGGCGTTATGGCACAGAGTTGGAGAGTCTGAGCTCTGGACTCCTTTGACGTAGTCATGATCATCATTCTGACGTTGACGTGACGGCCAAGACATTTCAACGTCACAGTGTTCATATTTCAGCTTGAATGATGCGCAGTAGGACCAAATGCTCCGTAGACTACTACCATATCATATGCACGGGAAATGTAATGGAAATAGTGACGATTTTGTGATGTGAGTACATGCGGTGTAATACCAACAGAGACAATCATTGGAGTGAGGTGCATGTCCCTGGCTAGACTTACAGCGGAATAGATCCGGATTGCCAATCAAGGCTATTTAACTCGTCAATGTCTTGTGTCGTGCGGTTCATCGCCTATTCCAAACCCTGTATCGCCATGATATAACCCCTTGAGCTCGCTCTAGCCCTCTCACAAATTCGTCTTCACTTATGCCCCTAGGATGCTCTTCTCACTAGCTTCAGCATCACTCCGAGTCTCTCGCATCTCATGCCGCTGCACAGTCCAACTATCCTTCAAAGCATATCAATCCACCATGGCATCCTCCAAGTCGCAACAGTTTTTTCATACCTCGGGCGCGACGGACTCGGTCTGGGTCCATCAAGACCCCGTTTCTAATCGCCCTTCTTTCTCTAAGCTGAACAAAGACATCGAGACTGACGTCTGCGTCATCGGTGCTGGCATCGGCGGTATTTCTACTGCCTACGAGCTCGTGACCCGTGGGCGAGAAGTGGTCCTTCTGGAAGCTCGTCAGGTACTCTCCGGAGAGACGGGCAGGACAAGTGGCCATTTGACCAATGACCTTGACGATGGGTATACTGAGATTGCCAAGAAGCACGGCGATGAAGGCGCCAGAGTCGCCGCTGAAAGTCACGCCTGGGGAAGAGATCGCGTAGGAGAGATCTCCAAGATTCTTGGTATTGAGTGCGAGTATCGTAAGCTTCCGGCTTATGAGGTTTCTCAGTATTCTACAAAGGATACGAAGGAGCATGAGGATGAGATGAATGATCTTCGCAAGGAAGAGGCAGCTCAACGAAAGTTCGGCATTGACGCTAGATTTGATGTAAGCCTCTGACATATCTTGATTCTTGATCTACGATTAACTGGTATAGGAATCGTTGACAGTTCGTGGCTGGGATGGAGCAATCGACCAGCGCGGTGGCCTCATCGTGAAAGATCAAGCAACATTCCACCCAACAAAGTATCTCAACGGCATCCTCAACTGGCTCAAGACTCAGCCCAACTTCCGCTGCTTCGATGAAACACGCGTCATGTCAGTTGAAGAAAAAGGTATCGAGATTCTTGGCATCGGCAACAAATCCGTCAACGTCTCAACAGCAGATGGTTATACCGTCAAGTGCAGCAACGCCGTCGAAGCAACATGCGTTCCCCTCCAGAAGCTCAGCGTTATTGCCCAGATGGAGTTTATGCGTTCTTACTGTATCGCTGCGCGTGTGCCCAAGGGCGCTATTGAGGATTGTCTTTTGTACGATCAGGCTGAGGAGTATAAGTACATTCGACTGACAGCTTGTGATGAAGAGCATGATTACCTTGTTGTTGGAGGCTGTGATCATAAAGTTGGACAGGAAGATACGACTACTGAGTTTGGTGAGCTTGAGAAGTGGACGCGTGAGAGGTTTTCGCAGGTCAAGTCTGTTGACTATCGCTGGAGTGGTCAGATCTTTGAACCTGTTGATTTCATGCAGTTCATTGGTAAGAACCAGGGCAACGACCACATTTACATCATTACTGGCGATTCGGGAGATGGATTGACGCATGGAGTCTTGGCTGGGAGATTGATCGCGGATGAAATCGACGGCATCAAGAACCCATGGGCAGATGTCTACTCCCCTAAGCGCATCGCATCAATGGTCAAGTCGCTCCCTAGCATGATCGCCCACGATGTCCAGATCAACGCGCAGTACAAGCGCTTCCTACAGTCGGACATTACAGACATTGAAGATCTCGGCCGTGGAATGGGCGGAGTATTGAACAAGGTAAGACCCCTTTGTTATTATCGTACGTGCAGAAGTTGACATTTTCAAGGCCGGATCAAAGCCCATCGCGGTGTACAAAGACGAAGAGGGTAACGTGAAGCAGTACAGCGCTTTGTGTCCCCATATGAAAGGCGTTGTGTGCTGGAACACTACTGAGAAGAGCTTTGACTGTCCTGTTCACGGAAGTCGATTTTCTCGAGAGGGTATTTGTGTGATGGGGCCTTCGAAGGGAAATTTGGATCCTGTTGACGAGGCTGGAAAAGCTGATCAGGAGAGTGTTGCTGGTAGTTAAACGTTAACAATTGACGATGTTTATGTAATACATGTCATGTTCCTAAGTATCCGCGTATAAGATGAAACGTGCTCTGGTAATACGTGCTGAGACGTTGTACGCGTACACATCATCAATCCGCCAAAAGACGACATGCTCAACGCGTCATCTCGCCAATGAAATGGCTCCGTTTACGATTAGCCCAATTATTTGCGTTTCGCAACACCCTTGCCTCACGTCAGACCACAAACACCGAAGAAGCCGAGCCGAGTTGGTGACAAAAAGGACGAGACAGATTTAGCCTGAAGGCTCACGTCATCTTTTCTTACATCCCATGCGGGGTAAAATAGCTGATGACGCCAACATTAGTCCCGTCATAGACGTGAGATCGATATAAAGTCTGAGCATCATTGACCGTTTCTCATCTTGATAAGGACGTTGGAGTGGCTTGATATTATCATTTCTCTTTTCTATTGATTCATCGATTCATTATGAGGTCTCTTTTGGCTCTTACTTTGGCTACGGCCACGTCAGCCTTTGTCATTCCCGAGGGTTTCGACGCTTTCAACACCTGGAAGGATGATCTGAAGCAGACGCTGGAAGACATTCCTACTCGCTTCCGCAAGACCCTCGATGAAGCAACCGAGCAGCTCTCCACAGAGTTCACAGCCGCAATCCACAATAGACTCCAAGACGAAGAGGCTTTCCTCCCCGCTGATAACGTAGACGACGACGAGTCTGCGGAGATATTTGGCCGAACAGGCGGTGACTTTACCGATCACACCACTTATGAACTCATCGCCAAGAGCAACTATACCAAGAAATTCTTCAAGCTTGTACAGAAGCATGAGAAGTTTGGAAAGTTGCTCAACAGCACTGATGCGAACTACACGCTTTTTGTCCCGACTGATGAGGCGTTTGAGCATATCCCTCATCACCATAAGGACAAGCCCAGTGATGAGTTCGTCGAAGCTGTTCTTAACTACCATCTTGGTATTGGGGAGTATCCTGCTTCGCGAATCCTCTTCACGCATACTATTCCCACGACGCTGAAGGAGCCTCTGCTTGGCGATAAGCCTCAACGTCTTCGTACCAGCGTTGGACTCTCTGGGGTGAGGGTTAATCTGTACAGCAAGGTCATCGCAGTTAACTTTGTAAGTATATCCCACTGGATGAATTGATCTTCACTGACTGTTATAGAAAACCAAGAATGGCATCATCCACGCCGTCAACAGAATTCTCGTCCCTCCCCCCTTCATCGGCAGGGAAATCAGCCTCTTCCCCGGCCAATTCTCAACACTTCTACTCGCGTTTGAAAAGACCGACTTTGTGAAGTACATCCACAACATCCCCATGGTCGGCAGCACCGTCTTCGCTCCCTCCAACGAAGCATGGCGCCGTCTAGGTCCTCGCGCGAACGCCTTCCTCTTCAACACCGAGACAGGCAAGAAGTACCTCAAGGCCCTTCTCAAGTATCAAATCGTCCCCAACATTACGCTCTACAGTGATGAGGTGTACTACGGCGATGAGAAGGTGTCGAAGAAGCTTTATGGTCATGGTGATGACTTCCATATTGAGCTTCCAACCCTTCTTGAGAGGAGTGTTGGTGTTGATGTTCATACTTTCAAGAGCTGGACTACTATTGTACTGAATGGACATAATGTCATTGGGTTTAATGATGCTGTTGGTAAGAATGGTGTTATTCAAGTTCCCAAGACTATTCCTATTCCTCCTCATAGAAAGGGTGAGCACCCTTCTGAGATGGAAGGAGAGATTAGCGTTGAGGAACTGAAAGAGAGATTGGAGGAGTATGTCGAGGAGGAGGAGGAGGACGACTTCGAGAACGGCGAACTGTAAGAGGTTTTCGTTCTGAAGGACATCAAATGGATTAGAGTTCCGAGGTAATAACAAGAGTCGGCACTATGTGTAGGATTATAGGCAGAGAATAAGTTAGACTACAAAGAAACAATGAATAGTCTCCCATCTGAGCTATATTTACACTTATCAAGGCCATGACATAACTGTTAAGTCGCTATCAATAGGAATTAGCTTCAAGCAACACTATATGTATGAACGTCACTTTACAAATGCAAAAGGTTTTGACAGAAGACCAATGGATTCTTAATCTAGATATCTCGTCTATTCCGCCCTGTGTATCACAATTCCCAGGATCTCCGTCACTGGTGGTCCGGCATTCCTAGCTCAGACAAATTCTTCCCACGACTCTATCAGGTCAAGAGGTAAACAACAACAAAAACAAAAACAACCATGCGTGGGGGACTTTTCCGTCTACTCGCGCACTCAGTCTGGCATTCCAAGCTCAGACAACTTTTACCAAACTCCGAAAAGACCAGACATAGGGAAGATGGGGTGAGATGTCAATTGTGTAGGACTTAGTTCTCGGCAGCCTTGATGATGTACTGGCGCATGCCAGAGTTCTCAGCCTTGCCAAGCGTCTCAATCTTGAGACCAACCTCGTTAGTGAGTTCATGGATCTCAGCCTCGTAGCGCTTCCAGGACTTGAACATCTGGAAGACCGTACCAGCGGGGACATGGATGTTGAACTTGCTGCAGTGCATGTCGTGGTTGGCGGTTACATCAAAGTAATGCATAGCTTTGTTGAGCTTGCTCTCCACGGTCCAAGCGGTCTTGGGGTTAGCACCGACAATGCCAGCATGATCCTGAAGACCCTGGAGATAGGTAGTGAAGAAGGCGTCGTACTCGACGGTGTTGTACGCAGCGTGTGTCTGGCTGGCTTCGACGCCGGTAGGTCCGTCCTGGCCGACAATGAGGCGATCAACAGGAGTCATGTGGCCCTTGAACTCGACACAACGATCCTTGGCCATAGAGTCGGGAGCATTGTAGAAGATACTGCCGAGAGACAGGAAGAGACGAGCAATAGGGCGAGTCTGCTTGAAGTAAAGGTCTCCTTGTTCAAAGGAACCCCAAAGACCTATGCACTTGACACCGGGGAAGGTAGCCTTAGCCTTGGCAATGTGCTCAACAAGAGAGGCGTGGGACAGATCGAGAGCGACGTAGACACACTCCTTTCCCTGGGCGATGAACTCATGAACGTAGGGCTCAAACTTCTTGGAGTTGGCGGCACCGAGGTCGATGATGTGAGTGCCAGACTTGAGTTGCTGAACGACCTGCTTAGCGGTAGCTTTGATGATAGCCATCTCATCAGAAGTCTGGTAAGACTTGTCGGCAATCTTGTTCCATTTATCCATGCCGGTAGTGTAGGCGACTTCTTTAGGGAAGTCACCCTGACCAAGGAAGGCCTTGGGAAGCTGATCATCCACAAAGGTGAGGTTGATGGACGAACCACCAATGTCGATGACCTCACCGTCGGTGGGATAGGCAGTGGAAAGAGAAGACATGTTGTCGGTAGTGAGAGGTATGAATGTGAGTGCGTATGGTGTTTTGTTGTATGAGTGCGAGATTGATAGTTCTTGTGAAGTGTTGTGAAGACCAAGGTCGAGATGTTGTGAGATTGGTGAGGAGGAAAGAAGAGAATTAGATCAACGACAAGAATCGACTATTTATTGGGATGCTGGAGGTGAATACCATTTCGCAGTGGCCGCAAACAATGCCACTGGGAACGAGAACAACAGACTGTTCGTCGTTGTTCCATTGTCACTAGCGGTCTTGTTCAGCCTGGGGGAGCTGCCAGATACAGAATGAACGAGATACCAGTCCAATACAACAAAGGGTTGGCACTGGTATAGAGTATTGGTTGAAATCATGTTCATGATTCATTCTCTTTGAGCGGCTTGAGAACATTGGGACTTGATTGGTAAGAGGGATCAATGGCAAGTCTTGACACTGTTCCCATGAACAGGGTATGGGGACGACTCTGCTCTACGGGATGGAAAGACAGAATGCGAGACGTATGGGACTATTAAACGTTTATGTTGAAGTTAATGTTAAGGCGAATGTGCTGATTTACGCATGTTGAAGGATATATCGTAGGCTCCAGCTACAGGAAGATGTTCGCATTAAGCCACTTTGCAAACGTCAAGAAGGACTTCATGACATACAATTGTTAAAGAATTACAACTCAGAGACGAGCAAAAACACATCATGAATGCTTCAGTACTGGTACATTGTATACAACGTTTCCAGGTTTTACCCACCAGGCGTCCATCCGCTGGCACTCCAACTCTCAGGACTAATATCAGGCCAATACAACCCCTGCGCCCCATCATGATACATCGACGCATCAATAAACTGCAAGTCCAGAACCGGCTGCGATAACAACTCTTGCAACGACGGCTCCGACAAGGCCATACCCGCCGTCGGATTTAGCACATCCAACCCCAATAACCCCGTATCTTGCACTACAAACTGTCCCCGTCTCGCTTCAAGCGCCCTCATACAAACCTTCATAGCGTCAACATGTCTACAAAACTCCTCGGCCGCAAAATTGCCATTCTCCTTCAGTTGGTGCAAAAACTGGGCTGCTGACTCGAATTGCTCTTTGTCGCTACGACATTCCTTTCCGTCGATTAGGCTTGAGATAGCGAGGACTGTAGCGGATGAGAAGAGGTATTGTGTGTAGAAGTAGTCGAATGTCGCGAAGGAGCCGTCGATCCAGCAGTCGATTAAAAGGCGACACGAGTGGCGTGCGCAGCGGATACACGCTTCGGAGAGCGTCATGGCTGATACGGGAATTTGAGGTTCCGTGCGAGGTTGAGTGTCCCACGCTGAGACGTGGGTCCTTAGTACGTGCAAAAGAATAGGACGCGTTGCTGTTATGGCAACCTGGTTAAAGTACAAGTGCAGTGAAAGAGGCTTTGGACTCGGTTCAGGTGCATCAGTGGGTTCAATGTGAAGATGCGGCGGCAACTCCTCCACAAAAGCCCTCAGATCCCTCAACGCCTCTTGAACCCTCTGCGAGAGAGTTTTCTGCTGTGGTCTCCGCGTGTAAATCGCATTAATTACCTTTGCCGCCAGTCTCGCGAGTCTTAGGCCCGCGATAAAATACGACGAGTCGGCAAAATCATCCGAGGGCGTGTCCAGGACTGGATCAGTAGGGAGATCGACTTCGATGTCGTCATCTTGAATAGCGACGGGATGGCCGAGACGAGAAGCCCACATGCGGTCGAAGCTATATGCAGTCCACCATACGCGATTTCTGTGTTCTCGGGCGCCGGCGTCGCGGAGTTGGGACTCGGGGACGTTGAGGTGAAGACCCATTACGACGGAGAGACGGACTGATGAGCCGGCTAGAGCGTAGGCTGTATAACGACGGTTGAGAGCGAGGGAGTAGAAAGACTAGATTGTTAGTTTGTCCTCATAAATCTGTGAGGGACTTACCAGAAGAAGACGAATCTCAATGGCGTCGATGCGAGGTCTTTCGCTGATGATACGGAGAATACGAGTCGCCCGCGCAAAATACGCCATACCCGGAAAGTTCCTATCCTTCGCCGCCGTACGCGTAGAGTACATCTCCCCAATAGCAAACAAAACCCAAAGCTTACTCCTCAACAAAGAATCCGCCGAATGCGGATTCAAAATCGACTGCTCCAGCCCCTCCAAGATCTGACTCTTCCTCACGATATAGTAAGTCCTACTAACATACTTCAACGCAACATTAACAAGCAGCCGTGCCCTAGAGGGTATCGGCCACGGACAGTCCTGATCCGAAAGAGCAAGCAACCTCTCATCAGGTGCGTAGTTCACCCTCGGGATGTGACTATGCCCCGGTTCGGAAATAGCCTGCCTAAAGCGCGATGCAAACGCAGCGTCGGAAGCTTCGCCGATGAGGACGGGGGTGTGAAGAACGTTCATGTCGAAGAACCAGGGTCGTTCTTCGAGGAGCGTGCCCTGTAGGGATGAGGATGTTTCGGTGCTTGAGACATCGGGGATGGAGGGCTCAGGCCGAGGTTTAGCGTCATCTTGACGAAGACGTTGGTTCTCGGCGATTAGATCGTCAATGTATCTGGAACAATAGATGAATATGAGAGGATTGAGAGGGAGGAGGGAAGACGTACTGCTGGCTCACTTTGACGAGGCGGTTCTTTCGGGGATAAGAGCATTCGGCGCCTTTACTTGCTTGACGGCAGTTTTCACAGGGCTGACCGCCTGAGCATTTAACTTTTCTAGCATGGCATCTTCGACAACTGAATCAATTAGCCAGACCCCTCGATATAAATGGCAGACTCTTACGCTGTAGATTTCGTCTTGCGCTGTCGTTTCCCTGGACTCAACGGTGTAACAGTCGAAGATCCAACATCCTCCTTATCCGAGTCACTCTGGTTCTCAGTCATTGTCTCTCAAACCTTGTACAAACAGGTGATCTTCGAGGCCGAGTGACACAGTCTTAACCAATTACCCACCCGATGGGTCCCCGAAGTACCGACACGATCTGCGTATGTGTCGTGTGACTCGAGAAATACAGAAGCAAATGACGCCGACACAAATCGGCGAGAATTTTACCTTTCCCGCGCTGACTCAGCGTTAACCTCGGCAGAAAAGTATGCATTTCGGTGGTTTTGGGAGACGGCGCCGAAAGAGGTGAGCGGGGATAAGACGGGCGAAGATAAAAGGTGTCCGACACCGCTGGGAGAAGTCATAGGTCCACTATAAGTGAGCCAAGAGGCAAGGAATTGGAGTGTTTTAAATACCTGATTGAGAAGGTGAAGAAAACTCTTTCTGGTAAATATTACATTGCAGTTTCAATGGATTTATTGGACTTTCGTTTCATTCAGTTGTGTTGATTAAGTTACATCTCCATTCGTTTATCTCACCATGTCCGAACCAAAACCAACCCTCACAGCATCCCCATCCTCACCACTCCCCCCAACAACCGCAATAGATGACGACGTAGCCCAGATCCCCAGCTGGCGAAAATGGGTCATCCTCTTCGTCGTATGCTGGATGCCCCTCCCCATGACATTCTGGAGCACCGCCATAATGCCCGCCACGCTCGAAGTAGCATCCGACCTAAACATCCCCGTGACGACCATCACGACCATCAACGCGGGTGTTTTTGTAGCACAGGCGCTGTCGGGGCTGATTTGGCTGCCTGTTAGTACGATTATTGGACGGAGATCTGCGTATCTTGCTGCGAATGGGGTGTTGTGTGTTTGTGCGATTGGATGTGCGACTGTGCCGAATTTAGCTGGTTTTGCGACGTTGTGGATTTTGGGGGGGAATACGGGGCCGTTCTTTTTGGTGGCTGGGCAGACTATCCTGGCGGATATTTTTGATCCTGTGAGTTTTGTCTTTTGTGAGTTTCGTGTTTGTTACTAACTTATATAAGACTTCTCGAGGGACTGCTGTTGGGTTCTTTCTGGGGAGTTGCGTGTCGTTCAATTCAATCGGTAAGCCTTCCGAACCTCGTTGTCGTGGATTTATACTAAGACCTACAGCTCCTCTTCTTGGTAGTATCATCGCGACATTTACCAGCTGGCGAGTCATCTACGGCGTTGAAGCCGGCATGTGTCTCTTTGGTCTCATTCTTTCTCTGTTATTCATCCCGAAGGCTAGTGAAGTTGAGAATCCCAAGTTGGCTGAGACGACACGTCCTCGAACAGGGAAAGAGATTCTTCGGACCTTTAATCCTATGCACGTCTTTTGTCAATTCAAATATCCCAAGGTCATCCTCGCTGTATGTATCCCCCCCAAGTGAACAAGCACAACACTGACATAACAGAACGTCGCCTGCGGTCTCCTCGGCTTTAACCAATACGGCATCCTCTCCTCCATCCGCCGCGTCATAAACCCTCGGTTCAATCTCACATCCCCTCTCTCCAGCGGTCTCTTCTACCTCGCTCCCGGCGCTGGTTTTCTCGTTGGAAGTACCGTCGGCGGTAAGATCTCTGACGTAGTCGTCAAGCGATACATGCGAAAGCGAAATGGACAGAGAATTCCTGAAGATCGCTTGAATAGCAGTCTAGTCAGTGTTCTCATCATCCTCCCTCTTGGAACGCTGCTCTACGGATGGAGTGTTTATCATAGACTTGGTGGTATGGCGCTGCCAATAATCAGCGCGTTCATCGAAGGGTTTGGACTCATGGCTTCGTTTAGTGGGCTGAATACATATGCAGCTGGTAAATCAATCACCCTTGACAAAGAAACGCAACTAATACTCTTCAGAGGTTCGACCAGCACATAGAACAGCAGTCATTACAGGAAAATACGTTATTCAGTATAGTTTCGGCGCAATGAGCGTTGGAGGTGTCGTTCCAATGATTGACGGCATCGGCGTAGGCTGGGCCTTCACCGTTAGTAAGTACACCTCTCCGCATCTCCTTTATCCTCCACTGACTAGTCAAAGTTACTTGTTTCTCAATACTCGCTGGTGTTTTAGTTCTTCTCATTGCAAGGTTCAGTAAGAATTGGAAGGCGTAAATCAAAGACATGGCTTAGATAAAATTAGAGATAGACAGACCGGGAATGATGATCGTAACGAAAAACGGCTCCGAGATCTAGATGCGGGGAAATCTAGATCTATGCGGCGTTGAAAATGAATTACCATAGAGGGAATAGATAAAAGTTTATTATTTGAGCTTCATGTTTTTCTAGCTACAGTAGTCCAAAACTCACTCCTCATTTTCGCTCCGTGACTTGGGGGATAAGCCATGAAATCCGAATTACTTCGGCTTGCATTCCTCCGCCAAGCCACGATCTTGACGGTTCGCCTTCGGTCCCGAGGGGCTAGCAATTAAACAGTCGTGGGATTCTGGAAATCGGGTTGGCTGGAATAAGCCATTGAGTTTGGTGGTGGAAGTTTGTGCTGACATGAGCTAATATAGCTTGGTCGGATATCGGCATGTAGCTCTTCACGCTGGGATATTTAGATGGAAGAGCTGCTGTTTTGGCCCTACGCTGAAATTTGATTCTCTCATTAACGTATCGTCAACGAGTATTTCTGTTTGGGAAGAGATTCGAGATGTATCGCGATTTGTTGCTTCTCACTTCACTCTTCAGCTTCACCCTCGCTCAGAGTGGAGCTGATCCGTACGCCCCAGTCTACACGACATGTCCCTCCTCCCTCAAGATCCGCAAAGCATCAGACGTACCCGTCCCTCCCTACCCCTCTCTCTGCCATATCTAACGGTTCCAGGGCTTGTCTGATGAAGAATCATCTTGGCGTGAACAGCGTGCCAAACAGATGATTCCCAATCTCCAAGACTACCTCAAACTCGCCAACATTTCCGACTTCAACGTCACGAACTATATAGACAAACTCAAGAGTGATGATGTCCCAATCGTTGGTCTTTCAGTCTCCGGTGGAGGCACACAATCTGGTTTTGGAGGACTGGGAGTCTGGCAAGCCTTTGATGCTCGGTCTGCTGTCGCTCGGGCTGCGAGGACGGGCGGCTTGACGCAGCTTCTCTCGTACATCACTGGTCTATCCGGCGGAGGCGCTGTCACCGTATCCCTTCTGTGAGTCCATCCCACCACCATCTCAATCAACACTAACAATCCAGCGCCGCAAACAATTTCACCACAACAGACGGCATCAAAAGAGCCTCCAACTTCTCCCTCGACTACGCATCCGGTCCCAACGGCAATCAAACAGCCTTCTTCACCAGCATCTTCGAAAACATGGGCGCCAAAGACGAGTCCGGCTTCCCCGTCTCTGTGGCCGACACATTCGGTCAATTCTGGGGAACTTGGCTTCCCGACGGTAAAGTATACAGCAACTACTCCGACATCGCCTCGAAAAACACAGCCTTCACCCTCGGCGACGCTCCAATGCCAATCATGTGCTTCGCAGAAGTCGTCCCCGGAAAATCCCCCGAGATCGGAAACCTCATGTATCCCGGCTTCAACAAATCTACACGCTTCAACTTGACAGCTTATGAAGTCACACCCTTTGAGTTTGGAAGTTGGGTCGGCGGACGTGTACAGGCGTTTATCCAGACCAAGTTCCTGGGTACTTCTATGGCGGAGGGAAAACCACAGAATAAGAGCGAATGTGTTCAAGGGTTCGATAAACTTACGCTCATGCAGGGGACAACTGCTAATGCATTTACGGCGTGGTTTATTGATTCGTTTTATGGAATTCCGGTGTTTGCGAAGAGATGGTTGGGGAAGAGACAGAAGGTTAATCTGGATATTAACGACGTTCATGTTCCGAGGGATCAGTATGATAATCCGCTTGTTCAGCTTGTGAATGAGACGGCGATGTATTTTGATCTGACGTTTAATGAGTCGTTGTGGGCGACGTATCCGAATCCGTTTGAGGATTATAATGAGGATATGAAGGGTGTTTCTGGGCTTCTTCTGGTAAGTTATCCTACTGAGGTTATGGGTGATGCTGACTGTTTAGGTCGATGGGAGTCTTACGCTTGAGAGCAATCCTCTTCGCCCGTTGATCATTCCTGAACGCAAGCTTGACTTGATCATTGTTTACGAAGCATCATCTGATGCGCCCAACTCTTGGGTAAACGGAACCAATCTCATCAGTAAGTTCTTTCGTTTCATGGCATGGTCTTGGCTAACATCTCAGACACCGCCCTCACCGCATCCCAAGGCAATATCCCCTTCCCCAAGATCCCCGACGTAAACACCATCGTCGCCCAAACCCTCTCCTTCCAACCAACATTCTTCGGCTGCAACGCCTCATCCTCCACGCCCCTCCTCCTCTGGCTGCCGAACGCCCCATGGACAGGGTACAGCAACTACTCCTACACGCAGACGCAATTCACACCCAACCAAGTCGACATTGCTCTTCAGAACGCATTCCAAGTAGCCACGTACGGCAACGGTAGCGTTGATGAGAATTGGCCTGCTTGTTTAGCTTGTGCGGCTATTAAGGGCTCGTTGAGAAGATTGGATATTGAGATGCCGAGGCAGTGTGAGGAGTGCTTTGAGAGGCATTGCTGGAATGGATCGACGAGTGATAGGGAGGCTACGGCGAGGGACTTTGATCTTAGGCCGAGATTGGATCCGGAGTTGAGCTTTGCGAAGTGGAATGAGAGTGATTGGGAGAAGGAGGCGAGTACGGGTAATGGAAGTGGAAGTGGAGGGGAAGATTCGGCTGGTGTCAAGCTTGGTAATGGCATGCTTGGTCTGGTTTGGTCATTGGTCGCAATGGCTGCACTACTGTAGTCTTACTTGAGGGAGCATTGTTTTAATATTGTCAATTAATGAGCGCGTGTAATGGTAGGAAAATTAATTCACTGTTTGAAATGATGCTTCAAGCATGAGATATCATCCGAGTGTATTAATGCGAAGATAAATCTCGTTGTCCTATCTGACGGCTGACTGAACTGTAGTGAACGCGTTACAGAGGGTCAGCGTCGAAGTCCACTGAACTGCAGCGGGTCCACACAATGAAGTCGCACTCAGCATAATGACTCAATACACTAACGACCTCGAATTAATTCTACACCTTATCTAAACATCCTAATTCTTCACCTGAACACTCTCCCTCATAACAGCCGGTTCAACTTCCCCATCAGTAGACTTGTTTTCCTCAATCTTGGCCTCATCAACCTTTGTCAAATCAACAGCCTTAAGCGCAAACATGACAATCAGCATCGGCGCAAGAGAGCACGTCGCAGCAATGGCGAGAAGACGCTGTGTCTCGCGATATGCTTGGTCAATTGCTGCGCGAACAGGCGTACCCTTTGCGAATTTCTGCGCGACAACGATGGACTTGTAGATCTTGAAGGCGTTGGGCTTGGCTTGCTCGGGGAGATATGTCGTGAGTTTCTGGGGGAGAATGTTGTTCCAGATAGCACCGCCGACGCTGAAATTGTTAGTGATAATTGACTGAGAGATGGAAGATGAACTCACCTGGTACCGACGGCTCCACCAAAGTTCATAGCTGCGTAGTAAACTCCCGTCACGACGGGGACATCTTCCTTGGCGACGAGAGCCTGGATAGAGACTTGAGCGGCTGTCTGGTAGAATGCACGACCAACGCCAACAAGAGTCTTTGCTGTGATGAAAGAGGCTTCGTTGGCGTGACCTCCGTTCATGTTGACAAAGTGAATCATGAGACCTTGACCAAGAACACAGAGCGGAACACCGATAAAGACAAAGATCTGACTGCGCTTAGTGTACTTCATCAAAATGCCAACAAGGACCGAAGCAATCTGGAACGCGACACGAAGAGCGTTACTAACAACGTTAGCATTGTTCATACCAATGTAAGAGGTACTTACTCAATGCGCGTAGCGTGTCCAGGGCTGAAACCACCAGCGACTTGAAGATAGCTCGGAAAGAAAAGCGTAAAGCAAGAATAATGGAAAAAGTCCAACATGGACAATACACAAGCCGCGACGACAGTTCGCTCCTTGATCATTCGAAAAGGAACAAATGGAACCTTGGCAAACTTTGTATCCCAGACGAAAAACACGCCGACGACGACGACGCCAATGACTAGCATGGCGATGTAGCTCCCCTGGTCCCAACGATCACTATTCCTCGCGCCCGTAAGCGAAAGCGGGATAAGCGTGAGTCCAAGACCGAGAACAAGAAGCACCGCACCAAGAATGTCGAGATCAACCCAGACAAGGTTCACAATCCTCTTGCTCAACGGCTGCGTCTTATCAGCCGCGTCCCAAGCGCCTTTTCTTCTATACCCAGCCCTTCTCGCTCGTCGCTGAAGGACATATAACGTGATGATAAGCGGCGCCGCGCAGAAAGGTAGGATGAGAGCCCACATGCCGTAACCCCATCGCCAGGTCGAGTGCTTGAGAACACTGTCTGCCACAATGGAGCCGAGGTATAGCGTTGGGATGGAGGCGAAGGATTCGGGGAGGGAGGTCCAGAGACCGCGGTTGATGAGGCTTGTTGTGTCGGCGATGAAGACCTGTTGCATGATGACGTAGCCGGTGTCGCCGATTGATTCGAAGATTCCGCCAGCCTAAGACGTTAGAGGTATACGAAAAGAGAATGAAGGACGTACGATGTAGGTTGCGATGTTTTGACACGCTGCGTACATTACTTGCGATAGAACGAGGAAGAGGATTGAAAAGGTTAGACCTTCTGCTCGACCAAACACCTGGGACAGTTAGTTCGTCTTGGGTTCTGCGACGAAGGGGAATACGTACGTTGGAGAACTTTGCCATGATAGGATACGTGACCAGACCAATGATGGTACTGACGACATTGGCTGTCGCAAGCGCTGAATGGCGCTGGAACGCAGAGGTGGCGTATGCATCGTAGACCTTGGTCGCGTATTTGAGGAACTGCGTTATAAACGTCGTAGCAAACAGACTAGATTGTTAGAAGAGGCATATACTGAGAGGAGATAGACATACCCAGTGAAGGCGACGATCAAAGCCTTCTTAGACCAAGACTCCCTCAGAATATCCGTATTCGAGACTTTCTCACGCTCTGCCATGGGCTTGGGCGCAGCTTCCACGTCGGAGCTACGATGAGAATTATGATCTGCCATTGCAAGTAAGCTTTCTCAACATTGAATGCTGCAAAGATCGATGTAACGCTGTCTGTTTATATCATCTGCGTGACGGAAGTCATTCCGCGCCCACAATCCGGTGATCCATCTAATCTTATCAGATTTTCATACATCGCGTGATTTCATTGGTTTGCCAAGAGTTTGCGTGGCATGACTTGGCCGTGATCTGATAAAAAAGCCTCATATTTTACAGGGATTGGGAGAGCCGCGTTCTTTTCTGGGTATAGTGACGGGAAGTTTCAGGTAAACGTGGATCACATGAAGATGATTTGAAGGTCGGTTTGGTCTTGGCCATGTTCCGACAACAGGCGATCTCCAACGACACGTTTTTGAATCCCTGCTCAGAGTTTTCGCATCTGATTAATGATGAGATTCTGAGAGTCGAGTGGCTTGCTGGGTGTTGCCACGAGCTGGAGTGATCTACCTACCGTATGATCGAAATGTTAGTCCGTGATATAACCTTGTTGTTATCAATCTGATCAGTACCATGGGGGGCCATGTGTATCCACTGAGTCGGGAACAGTGAGTATGCGATAATGAGCATGGTGACTTGCGACGTCGTCGAGCTCCGGATACTCGGAACCGATCGTTGGAGAGATGTCTGTGCGAATAGCTTCCGCAAGACTTGATCAACAATGGTTCATGCAGTGCCTAGAGTGCGTTGAAGTTATCCCGAGGCGATGGTACGGAATGGTCCGCTTCAGGTCCACTTAGGAGTAAAAGCGCTGGTCTACAGACGAGTTACCGCTTTGGGATCATGCATCCACTGTCTCTCACGAGGAATTTTCGTACCCCATGTAATGTGAGATTCACGTCGCTAGATGTTCTTGGACAATTTAAGCGAAAGACATTCTATGAACGAGGACTAGACACCTCTAAATTACAAATTCTATGCTATATACTTGTTGTTCACCAGACAACTGCCTCTATATATCTCCCATGTCAAGCCTCCAATTGACGACCGTCAAGCTATGTCGCGTCTAACCAAGGTTGTTCGGGCTCTTGGCTCGAATCTTGGGTCCATACAAGAAGAATATCACGGGAACAGGTACAAGAGCCAGCGCCAGGAAAGCAAGGATACTGTTTCCCCAACCAAGACCTAGATCATCGTACATGGATAGTCCGGCGAGAGGAAGCAATGCACCAGCCAGAGACCGGAGCACCGTCATAGCGGCGACGGCTGATGCTGCGTAGGTGATGTATGCGTCGACGAGGTAAGTTTGAAGACACATCTATATCATTAGTCATGTCCATTGGTAGTGAGATTAGGATGAGACTCACCATAATTCCCATGAGACCAAAGCAAAACAGTGCAACGCCAATCATGGGCACGATCCAATGCGAGTTCTGATCCGCCGCCCAACCATACCAAAACAACGCCCCCACGATAAGCAGCCCCGACGGCAATGTCATCCAAATCGGCAATCGATCCTCAGGCACCGTCTTACCATTCTGCTCAATCTTCTTCTTGATCACAATATCCGTCATGACCCCAAAGACCATTGTACCAAACAGCATTCCAATACCAGTAGGGAGATACGCCAGACCGATGGTACCAGTGCCGAAACCGTACTGCTGCGCGAATACAAAGGTGAAGGTGCTGAACATGAGGTACAGCACGCCGTAGACGATGGCGACGTAGAGGGAGAGGATGAAGACGGGGAGGTGGGTGAAGAGCATTCGCATTGGGCGGATGGAGGCGTTGCTGATGCGTTGTTTGGGCGTGAGGCCGTCTTTGTCGAGGATGGAGTATAGGTCTTGGTTGCCGGTTTCTTTCTTGAGTTTGGCGACCTTGGCACGGAGGAGGGTTGGGGCGTATGTCTCTGGGGCGGCAAAGTAGCACAGGGCAGCGATGAAGCCAGTCTGAATGGTCAGCCACGATAAAGAACACTCAAAGCTAAAGGAACTTACAAGAATAGCAATCAGCCAGAACACCCATCGCCATCCAATGGCCTCAACCATATACCCACCCGCCAACGGACCAATACACGGACCCAGCAACGGTCCCATGGCCCAAACAGCCATAGCCTTACCTCTCTCCTGTACCGGAAAGATATCCGATATAGTTCCACTACCATTAGTAACAGGCGTCGAGCCCGTGAAGCCCATCAAGAAGCGAAACACAATAAGCATAGGCATGTTTTGGCTCAGCGCCGTAGCGACGGTCATTATGAGGAAGAGGACGTTGGCGACGTTGAAGACGATAGCGCGGCCGTAGATCTCGCTGAGGGGCGCGGCGAGGAGTGGACCGAATGCGAAGCCGAGGACGTACACGGAGACGACGAACGTGGCGATGTTGCGGTTGGAGGTTTCAAATTCGCGCATGATGTCTGGGACGCCGGGGGCGAACATTGAGGAGCCCTGGATTGTTAGAGGGAGTGTAGTTGGGGTTGAGGGAGGGACGTACGAGAGGTCTGGGATGTTAGTGATGGTATTGAGATGAAGTAAGAGGGGACTTACGTTAGGAGGGTCATGACGGATAGAGCACCGATGCAAGACCATTTCTTCTTTGCAGGCCAGTTCATGGGATTGTTTGGATCATCAGGTCCATCCCAACCAACCGCATTCGGGTCTTCAGCCTGAACGACATCTTCCTTCGTAACGCTCTCTTCATCCTTCTTCGCAGCGCTACCGGTATAAGAAGGCGTGAGGGTCCGCTGACTCGCGGGTCGTTCAATATCGATCGAAGCTTTATTTTCCGCCATCGTGAAGCTCGTGAAGACAAAGGATGCTTCAAGACGAGAGAAGGAAGGGGTAACGAGAAGATATTTATCCCCAAGCCACGACTCGACCAACGAGCCAATGAGCGAGTGACTCCAAAGCGAAACCGAGAGATGGGGGAGGGATGGCCAATCAGCGCGCGCTGTCGGGGCCGTTCTAGAATCCGACGTCCGGGTGGTTATGCGGAGCCCCACACGGATCTGGCGATTTCCGTACCGTTAGTTATGCAAATACACGGGATTTGTGCAGATTTGTGCAGAGGACGGCCGGATCGCCCCTTTTAATATTTTCCGGGGACGGAGTTGTGAATACATGCATTGCATTCTGCGCGCCGGGTCGGTGACGGGATCCGATGTCCAATATCTGTTACGTTGAGGCGATTAAATATTTCTTAGCGAAGAATTTGTTGAAACCTCCCTATAATTCATTTGTGCAGCGTGATGCATTTTGTTGGTTGATTGAGAATCCGTTATACGCGTATTGCTTATTCCCCGCAGTTGCCGATCATGTGAGGTTAATGTTATTTTTATTCCCAACCTTGTCCTTATCTTTATCTTATCGTCACCAGCGTATACGAGGAAACATGAAGTAACAATACAAGGCGCAACACGATCAATTCATTCTATCCACGTAAACAATCTAGACCACCCGATTCCAAAATTACAACAACCTCTCTCGAATCGCCTTCTGGAAACCTAATCTAAGCCTTTCTCTTTTGCAACAGTCCCTTGAACGGATTCTTCCCTCTGAACCGCATCCACGTAGCAAAGTAAACCACCGCATAATTAAACGCGATAAAAGCGCAGAAAATGCCGAAATCTCTCCAGATATTCCTGTAGTACACACTGAACCCCGCTCCAAACTCATCACCAGTCGCATACTGGCAGAACTCACAGTATCCGTCTGATCCAGTGGTGACATACCCTCCCGCGCGCTGAATAAATGGCTCAACATACTCATCGCACGATTGACCGCTCGGCGGTTCAAAGCGCGCAAATTCACCCTCCTCGCAGCGAACAGGCTGGTCATGAATCGCAGCGCCGAGGAATGCTTCGAGAAGGTAGTGGAAGGGAGTGAGCCAGTACATCCATTCGCGCCAGAACGTAGGGAGACCTTGCGGCGGGACAACGACGCCGCAGAAGGATACGACGAAGAGGAAGAAGATGGGGACGAGGAGAGAGGCGAGGAGTTCGTTGGGTGCAAATGCAGCGATGGCTTGGCCGAAGGAGACGTAGTATAGCTCGAACAACAGAACAAGCAAGAATGCGAAACCAGATGTGAAGGCTGACGCGCGCCAGCCAAAGACTCCCCACCACCAGCAATTGAAGTAAATACCGCCCGCGACGATACGATACGGGATTTCAACGACCACGACGGCTGTAGTCCAAGCAACCCAGCTGTAGATCTTGGCGTTGTTTTCTCTCCACTGGAATATCTGGCGCGATTTGAGAAAGGCTGGCTGGAGCTGCTGAATGAGAGGCGGACTGATTGTAAGCGTCATAAAAATGGAGAATAGCCTGTTCTGGTAGTCAATCGATGCGAAACCGATCTTGTAGAATGTGAAACAATTAAAGAGACCTGTTGCGACGTGTAGCATAAAATTGCCAAAGATGTAATCGGGTGAACGCCAGAATGAGACGAAGCTTCGACGAACAACGGCGTAAGTTTGGGTGGATAACGGCATGGCGTACTCGCGATCATCTTTAAGACTCTTTGACGGTTCAACGTTGCGTCGGCGCTCAATCATCTCCTCAATCTCTTGGGAGCGCTTCTGTCGCTCTGAAGACTCGGCCCAGACATCACCCCAATCTTGACCATCGTAGTCAGGATTTCCAGCACCGATTGCATCGAGCATGTACTCGGCGGGGTTAGCGTGCGGGGGACACTTGGGGCCGCCGTTGGACTCAAAGTACTTGATCAAGTTCTCTGAATCATTGCCTAGAGGACCGTGGTAGACGACTCGACCGCCTGATTTGAGAAGCAAAAGCTCGTCAAAGTTTTCAAAGAGGACGGCGGAGGGTTGATGGATTGTGCAGAGGACAGCTTGGCCTGCGTCTGCGAGTTTGCGAAGGAAGCGCACGATGTTGAATGCAGCGCCTGAGTCAAGACCAGAAGTCGGTTCGTCCAAAAACATAAGCAGTTCCGGCTTACTCGCCAGCTCAACGCCAATCGTCAGGCGCTTTCGCTGCTCTGCGTTGAGACCTTGTCCAACTGTACCGATGATGGCACCAGCAATGTCGCGCATCTCGAGAAGATCAATAATAGTCTCGCAGTACTCCATCTTTTCCTGCTTGGGTACTTCCTTCGGTTGACGAAGAAGAGCAGAGAATTGGAGGGCTTCGCGTACGGTGGCGGTGGGTTCGTGGATGTCCATTTGTTCAGCGAAACCAGTTGCGCGCTGGAAGGATTTTGGGAGGGGACGTCCGTCGACGAGGAAATCGCCTGTGATGGTGCCGAAGTTGAGACGTTGGGCGAGGCCGTTGAGAAGAGTTGTTTTACCAGCCCCTGAAAAAGTTAGAGACGGGAGGTCAATTGAGAGAAATGGACTTACCAGATGCGCCCATGAGAGCGGTCAATTTACCAGGGCGAACGTAGCCTTGAACATCGTTGAGGAGTTTCCGCTCGCCTTTCTCGAAGGGGATTGTGTAATTGATGTTCTGGAACGTAAACACAGTTTCATTCTTTGCGACTTCTTGGGTGATCTGCTCATCGCTCTTGGTACGTTCGGCATCACCACTCGCGACAGGATCGCTGCGCCCAGACTCTTCATCTTGCTTATCGCCCTTGGCTCTACCACCAGTCGCGATAGACTCTTCGACCTTCTTGGGGACTTGGCCACGCTTAAAGACGGTGATGGCGCCGCCGCCGACGTTGGGCTTCATGAGCTCCATACCAAGAGCAGTAAGGAACACGAAAAAGATGAAGAAGGCCCAGAGGAAGCCAAAGTTGCGCCAGAGATGGGAACGGGTGTATGTGAAGGACTCTTGGATGTATGCAGCGCCAGATACAGATGTTGAGCCAGGCGATGCACCAGCGAGAGTACAACCCTGGTTCTGAGGTCGTGCGTTGGGGCCTTGCGGGACGAGATATGGCGGTTCGCATTGAAGAGTGAGGTACGCGAACTCATTAGCCATGAGACACTCGAAACCGTACTGAATCCAATTGATCCATCGTAGCCAGCCGAACCAAGGATGCATCGAGTCCGGTGGGATCAGATAGCCCGTATACACAACAAGAATCTGAATCGCAACACCCGTAAACCGCGTCGCCACATCCAACGTCCCGCACCAAGCCGAAATAGCCCTGAAGAACGCATACGTCACCATAGTGACAAGCCACAGAATGAGATTCGATATGAAAAACTGCGACGCCGTTCTCGCAAGGTTAGCCATCCAGTAGATGATGACGTTAAAGATGACGACCTGTATGAAAACAAGCGGGACATCGACGACCGTCTGGGCGATGGCGAATGCAGAAGGGCGGTAGAACGAGAAGGACTTGTGCTTGAGCAGAATAGGCTTTGACTCGAATGCAGCTGTTTGTTCAGCCAGTGCGAGAAGAGCGTTGAAGAGAAGAAGAAAGAAGAGGGCACCGCCGCGGGGAAACGCTCCGGCTGCTGTGTCGGGGAGGTTGTAGAAGAGTGAACCGACGATAAGACCTTGGAACAACAAACCGCCCCATTTTCCGAACAGAGACGCTTTATCGCCGAACATGACGAGGAACTGACGATGCGTGCAGGCCAAGACCTGTTTGTGGAACGCAATCTCATAGTTCTTCTTCTTACTCTTCTCACTCTCGTTCCTCCGCCTCTCCTCCGCCAACGTCTCAAGCTCAGCCTCAAACTCGTCAATATCCCTCAGATTCTTCTGATAATCCTCACTGCGACGATACGCATCAGAAAACTCTCCCGCCGAGCGCGGGATGCGATCTTCCCAGCCTTCACGAACACTCCGCTCATGCTCATCCGTCACACTCGTTAAAAAGTCAGCCGTAGTCCAGCGCTCAGGACACTCAAAGCCAAGACTCTGAAAATACTTCTTCGCGTCTTCTGCGCGGCCGTAGTAAAGACATTTCCCCTCATCGATGAGCAGGACTTTATCAACGAGGTCGTAGAGTGTTTCACCAGCTTGGTAGAGCGACACAGCGGTAGATGTATCAGCCATGTTGGTCATGGCGCGAATGGACTTTACGTATTCGACTGCTGTGCTAGCATCGAGGCCTTTGCTAGAGTTATCCCAGCCTTGGACTGAGGCACGTGTTATCATGGCTTCTGCGATGGAGACGCGTTTGCGCTCGCCGCCGGAGACGCCGCGAATGAATTCATTGCCGACTTTGGTGCCGAGGGTATGTTCGATCCAGAAGAGTTTTGTGACGACGCGGAGAAATTCACGGACGTAGTCTTGACGCGTTTCGCCTTCGAGACGGGATTCTTTACCGGGCGTGCGAGTCTGCAGCGCAAAAGTGAGGGTGCGCTTCACCGAGAGCGTGGCGTAGTGCAGGTCATCTTCAGGGTTGTAGATAATCTCACCGCGGAAATCCTTCGCCATTGTCGCTGCGTCAGTCCCGCCGTATGTAACCTGACCTTCAACGGACTGAAAGCCCGCGCGCTGGTTGCAGAATGTCTTGAGGAACGTACTACACCCCGCGCCAGGCCTACCCAGAACAAGGAGTAATTCACCTGGTCTAACGCAACCGTCGAAATTACTGATGAGGTCTCGAACGGGTGGTTTCGCCATCGCAGCCTTGGGTCCTTGGGTAAACAACTTGCCCAGTTTGCGCGGCAGGCCTAGGAAGAAATCTCCAACGGTAGGCTGAAGACTGGACCCGAGACCAACACCGCGAACAGTGAGGTTACGAAAGATAACACCGCTATGTCGCGTCTTCTCCTCCTCGCTTTGTTCCTGGCGCTTCTGGCCAAAGATACGAGACATGAGACGGTCGAGTTCCTCATTATCTTCTGTTTCTTCTTCTTTCTCAGCGGGCGTTGAGGCATTCGTGCGACGACGGGAGAGGACGCGGAAGAGATCATCTTCAGTGCGATGAGACTTGTGTTTCTCGAGGGGCGGTTTCTCATTCTCGGTGTGAGATTTGATCGGGGCAAAGATGGGTTCGTCGTCAGATGCACTCTTGCGCTTTTCTTCAGTGGATTCGCGGCGGGGGAGAACAGTGCTCGATGAAGAATTGCGATCGAGGATAGGCGCGTGTTGCAGTTGAGGCTCAGAGGCTAAGGCCCCAGTCGCGCCGGGTGAGGCTGAACTGCCGGCGGTGACATGATCGTACGTCGTAGCCGCAGTATCACGGCCCGCAAACCCGGCCTCGAGTTGTCTATCGGTGACGTTTCCCGTTGGGGTAATCGAGTTGACGCTTGGCGTGACTGGATAACCGCCGGGGATGTCTTCATCCCTGGGCGTAGGTCTCTCATCAGCCATTTTGACATCGAAGAGCAGGATAACCTCACGGTAACGATGGTGAACACTCTATTCTTGGTTTACGGGCATTGACCATAATAAACAGACATTTCTTCACTTGTGCGTTATCTATGACGACATTACAGAGCAGTCTAGTCGGGCTTTCGGACATGCTGGAATTGCGACGCGGTCCGGGCGCTGGGTGGATATTGGGCGTCATAGATAAAAAGAGTCGATTACCCTGGAGTAATCACAGAGTCTGTTAGTGCCTCGGAGAGATTAATCTTGGACGTGCGAGTGACAGACGCTACAGGTCGAGTTACGCATGACGTTGCAGCGGCATTTTTAATTGTCCGACGGACGGCAAGTGTCGTCAGCTGGAGCTTGTGATTATCAGCTTGTCATACACTCACTCTTTTAGCTTTGACCTTTCGGGAAATTTGTTAGATCGTATCGGTCCCGAGCGGATTACAACACAACCAGGTGAGAACAAGATTAGGGCTGATTGATGCTGGAATATTGACAAATTCATTTAATTTTTCTTCGATCTGTGCGATTCATTGCATTCAATGTCTCTCTCTCATGCGTGTAAGATTTGGATATGCTGTGTAACTCCCCCGTGGCAAGTATTTGGCTGACCTCAAATGCGGAGTCTCACCCGAAGCCCCGTGCCACTCACTCACTCACCGTATTCCCCTCTAATCTCCACCGCCTACCATCACTTCCAACTAAAAATACAGCATCGCGCGATGGCACTAAAACATTCCGATTACCAGGAACTCACCCGCGAAAAAGAGCGAGCTAGACCAAGAGAATACCTAGCCTAGACCGTTGTATTTGAAACATGATCAGATCAAAATCAGATCATGATCTCCGATGATTATCGGGCATTCACGCTGCCATTTCAAGACTCCTGCAGCGCATGTCTCAGTCTGTCTCAGCTCAACCTCTCATATCTCAGCGTCCCAAAGGCGGGCGCCAATTAACCGCCGCCGGGGACAAGCCGCATTTCTCCCTCGCGCTACGGCTGAAATGTTGATCTAGTGGAAGTTATTCCCGCGCTCGGGCAGTTTATCTGAACTGGTCTAACTTGTACCTGAGTTGAAACATGAAGCTAAAGCAAAGCTAAGCTTGAGGCTCAAAAACACCGTCACAAAAGAGCGTAGATACACAAATTAAAAGAGAACGATGTGTTTTTTCAGTGTCAAAATTGATGCGAAAGTGCTGCGACATGTGCCGTGCTCACACGGTTCACATTTCCCTTCCCCCTCAGCCCAGACCAAGCCCAAATGCAAGCCTCGAATGCAGAGGAAGCCCTTGTGTTACACCAACTTCAAGGGCATTCGATGCCCAACAGCCCTCTCGCGATCATCGGAAAGCTCCGATTTGCTTGATTCGCTAAACATGCTGCATTTTGCTTCTGTGGGCGGAATGAGGTCTCGCATCCATGCTGCCGCTGCCCAAGGTCTATATGAAGGCCCAATTCCCCCCCAAGATTCAATGACAAACAAGCATCTTACGAACACTACTCAACCCTTTTTTCCAATATAAACTATCATCACCAAGACTCAAACACCATGTGTCAAGTTGTTGAAGAAAATGGCAACAAGCCCCAGAAGGAGGAGACCCAGAACCAGACCCAGAACTGTTGCGTGCCATCTTCGGCTACGGGATCGACGCAGGGTTCTAATCCTGCCAATCTGCCTCGATATCACGTCGAGACGTTCCCCATCCCCGCTCCTCTGTCGGAATATGATCTTGATCACCGGCTCACTATGACCATTGAGTCGCAGCAGCGACTGTGGCCTCAGGACATCTGGGTTCACAGTCCGCATGGACGACAGCTGTACCAGCCTGTGCTGATGTTTGAGACGATGGTCCCGGAGGCGGAGGAGAAGACGGAGACGAACGGAAGTGCTTCTAAGAGCGGTTAATGATGAGATGCGATATAGGATACTGGGCCGGAGGAGTCGTGATGGGAAAATGATTGAATGGGCTTGGATTAACGGTACGGTACGGTACGGAACACACGCGACGGAGTTGGGGTCTTTTATGACATGGCCAATGAGATCAATTGGGATTCATCTGCTTTATTCTGTTTGCATTTCGACAAAAACCACAAAACAAACTACAACAAGGGCTCTACGTCTATACCAACCTAAACGCACTGGGGTCAATCACTGTACTAGCATAGCGAGCACGATTGATGAGAAACAATACATCACAATTGCTTCCCCAACATATCAACACTCAAACCTCCACTCTACATCCTCCCATCCCTTTCTCATTGTGATTGTAGCCCCTAGCCCAGCGCCATACCTCTCAGGCCGTACCGTCCCGCCCGCCAGCTGCGGCCCCAGCATCTTGACATCCCCAAACCCCATCCCCACAGCCTCAATCTCAAAGCCCAGTAGTAAGGCAGACGAGAAGCCAATTATCTCTGCGAAGGCGAGGTTGCGACCTGGGCAGAGATGGCGACCGCCGCCGAAGGGTATGTACGCTGCTTTTCGCTTGCGCTCGTCTTCTGCACTTCCCTTGGATGCGGGGAGGAAGCGCTCTGGATTGAAGACGTTGACATCTGCGCCCCAGACACTGTCCTCGTAGTGTGCTACGCCAGCGGGGAGTTGTAGGTCTGTATCCTTTTTGAGAAGATATGTTGTTCCTTCGGGCGTTGTGACGCTTGTGTCTTGGAGGATGCGTCGCATGCTAAGAGTCTGGTTCGCAAGCCGCATCGTCTCGCGATAACAGCTCACCAGCAGAGGCATCTTCTCTTCAAAATCCGCTATATTAAACGCCGCGCTCCTCTTTTCATTATTATCCTCCACAACAGCTGCATCCTCAGCTTCGGCTCGTATTCGCGCGAGAAGATCCGGTCGGTCGAGGATGTACAGCAAAAGCCAGTAAAACGTCGGCACGGCATTAAGCGTCGCCACATTCGGGAGAATAACCTCAAACTTGCCAATCTCGTATCCCGTGAGTCCGTTCTTGCGAAGTGCTCCGGCGCGGTTCCGTACGAGGGCTGAGACGCTGGGGTCGTGGATGTCGTGGTCTTTGGCGTACCATTGACACGCGATGTCTTGCAGCGTGGAGCGCGCTTTGTAGGCCTTTGGCATTGTAATCGAGGGGAAGAGCGAGAGGAGGAAGTAGGGCACTGATTCTTCGAAAAGCCTGGTTTGTTAGCGATGGGCAGAACCCGGGATGGGGGGACATACCACATGTCTTCAATTAAAGAGGGATCGCGATTAAACGGATCAGTGTCGCCGTAGAGAGAACGCGTTGTAGCGAGGCTCATAACATCGCGACACCAAAGATATAGATTCTCCACGTGTAGTCGTCCATTTTCGACCGTCTCTTTTCCCGCATTGATCCCATCGGCACGTATCGTCGCGCGGTTCAGCTTTGCAGCGATGCTACCCAGGAAATGCACATTCATCTGGTGCAAATGCCTAACCTGAAAGCTCGCATGAATCGCCTCTGTAAATTCATCGTAAACGCCCGGTACTTTGACTTTCGCAAACGTCTCCTGTTTCAGCGCGAAGGTCTTTTTCGCGTAGTCGAACACAAAGGGCTCGAAGGACGCGGTCTTGTTGCGGAGGAGGGTTTGGAGGAGGGCGGGATCGAAGGCGGCGTAGACTTTGCCGTTGAGCATGGGCAGGGTCGCGATTGGGACGTGAGGGTTCTCATTGCTGCGATTGAGCTGTTAGGGATTGAGGGTGACGGAGAAGGGGAGGGGAGACGGACTGGATGATTCTGCTGTAATCTGCTTGGTGACGAATTATCCCAATGATGTGTCCTACCCACGGAATCGACGGTTTCACGACGGGCGGTTCACGTGGGTCGATGTGGGGAGTTAGTAGGCGGTTTAGCAGGGCGAACGCCACTACAACCGCCAAAACGGTCGTGCTCAGAATTGTGACATTCGTGCTGCGATAGTCAACGAGACTTGTCAGTAGAGATTGAGAATTCATTGTCGCTGTTGATGTGAGAGGACGGAGGAATTTTGGCGGATTTATTTGATGAGCGGTGAATTGTAAATGGTGCTGACTGTATTGGTTCCTGGCTGGCATCGCTAGTGCTGAGGCCGGGAGGTCCGTTTGAGGAGGAGTTGGCCAGTCATTGTGTATTTGCTCGTATCAGCGTTGTAAGCGCTTCACTTACGCAATTGGGACTATTTTAGTGCAGGAGATTTCAATATTGAGCTATAAAAGTGTCAATCTCTAGAAGTCGTGAGGTATTATGGCCAATACTTGAAGCAGAACGCCGTCTGTTGATGCTGCTTCAATGCATCTTCACTGAAGCTTCCCCACTGCTGATGAGACCAACGTTCAACTGCCGACAGTACAAAACGTTCCTCTATCAACGACCAAACGGTACAAACTCAATATGACACACTTAGATCTATAGCCCCAATTGTCGCGAAACTCAAAGCTTCGCAGCGGGTTTCTCAGCCTTGATCTGCGCCTTCAGCACCCTCCTCAGGATCTTCCCACTCGGACTCTTGGGTATGACATCCAGCACCCTAACCCCGCCCTTCAACCATTTATGCCTCGCCTTATGGCTCTCAACATGCTCACAAACAGCCTTGACAACATCCCCATCATTCAGACCTTTCGTTTTCTTGCTCTTAACAATAAACGCTAGAGGGACTTCGCCTGCGCGCTCGTCGACAATGCCTATGACTGCGCAGTCATCTACATATGGATGATCGAGGAGATGCGCCTCCAGTTCAGCGGGGGCAACTTGATGGCCCTAGAAACATCAGCAACGCTCAAGGAAAAGGGTGGTGGAGGTACCTTGACTTTTATAAGCTCCTTGATTCGATCGACGATGAAGAAATGATCGTTTCCGCGTGGTGATTTCCGCACGAGGACTTCATCGCCTGTCCTCAACCACCGCCCATCATCACGGTGCACAAACGTCTCCGCGTTAGCTTTCTCATTGTGAAGATAGCCCAGCACGACATTCGGCGCCTGGACGTATAATTCGCCTGGTGTTTCGTAGCTTGTGACTTCGGAGCCGTGCTGGTCGATGATCTTGACTTTTGCGCCGGGAAGCAAAGAGCCTGATGAGCCGAGAACGGGATCTGCCTCGCTGGTGTGAAATACCGATGGTGAAGCCTCCGTTAAGCCTGGAAAATTAGTCTTGAACATATACTGGTGCTGGTGAACGTACCGTAGCCTTGGCTGATTCTCCATTTTGGATACAACTCGAGTAATTTCTGAATGGTTTCGCCTCCCAAGGGCGCAGCACCCGAGAACACAAGCCTCACCGAGTCGAGATTGTATTTCTGGCATTTATCCTGGCTACTCAAAATGTGCACGATGATCGGCGGTACGACGCTGAGTTGCTCAATGCGGAATTTCTGAATAGCCGCGAGCAATTGCTCCAGTTGGAAGCGCTGCAGAACGATGATTTCGTCACCGCGATACTGTGCTATATGGGCGATGACAACGAGTCCGTAGATGTGGCTGAAGGGTAAAAGACCGAGGGCTACTTGCGTGTCGATGTTATCCTGGGCGCGGGTTATGGACTCAAAGGTATGGATCATAAGGGTGCATGCGATGACGTTGTAGTGAGAGATCATAACGGCTTTCTAGGCTTGTTAGACAGAACGCAGAAGGGCATGGTATACGTACGGGAAGACCTGATGTACCGCTTGAGTAGCACAGATACGCGACTTGTCGTTTTCCCTGTCCTGACGTCCAAGCTGATAACTCCAACGGCGGTAGAGTCTTGCCTTCTGCGATGAGATCTTCGATTGTTTTGAAGGATTCTTCAGAGGGAGTCTCAGGCAAAGGGAGCAAGAAAATGTGTTTTTCGGGAATTCCGACGGCAGAAGCTGCTTTGAGTGCTGTGCTGAGAAGAGGAGCGCATGTGAATAGTGCTTTTGCGCCTGATGATCGAAGTTGATGTTCGAGTTCAGAAGCTGAGTGCGCTGAACTAGCGGGCGTGACGATGCCGTCTACTCGGTGAATGGCGTGCGTAACGGGAATGTAATCAATCTGCCCAAGTCGTTAGTGCTACACACCTCTTGTAATTGGGGGAGTTTTACAGTGTTGAGAGCGTAAATCGCCACGACTCTGTCCCATGGCGTTGCATCATTCGGATCAAACCCGACATTTTTCGCTAACCCGCGCGCAAGAAAGTCAACACGCCGTGCAACCTCCTCCGCAGTCCACGACGTCCCCGTCACACCACACGTATACGGCCTCTTTGACCCATCAAAGCTCTTCCGCCCTGCTTTTTCAGTATTGATAAAGTCTGCTACGCTGATTGAATCAGGTATATCTGCACCTGTTAGTACTTCGTCTGGGAGAGCGGGGCGCTAACAGTACCTGGGAGGTTAGGAACCCACGATGGTGGATAAAACGTCATTTTTCCTGGATACAATGTGAGATTTGAGATTGGGTGAGCTTAGTGATAGGGTTGATGGGGTTTTTGATGTTTTTAAGCTATCGTTGGACCGAGGTTTGCCAGTTCAAGTTCCGCGGATCAGATACCGAGCTGTTGAGATGGTACGGGGAGTGGACCAATGAGAGGGGAGGGGATTGAGGAGCGTGGGGAAATCTGGGGAAGACACGTGAGGGATCGTCGTGGGATTACCCTGGAGATAGGGTTTAGCGAGTTTGGTGAATAACTGGCTTTCAGGGGTATAGGATGAATGAATGGCTTTGTATGTAAGAGATACATTTGTGCTGTTTGCATATAGGGCGTGTAATCCCTTAGATGCAGGTACAGTCTCGAGAGTTTTGAGATTGAGATACGCGATAAACTCAAATGAGGTATGTTACGTAGGAACATACGTTACACTTTCATCTACAGACGGATAGCTTATAATCTACGCAAACTTTACCTGCGATATTTAGGATATTAAAAGCAAAAGTTTAAGAAAAAGTAATAGATTAATTAGTATGCTGTTTTATTAAAAAGCAGTCATTGCTGATGTGTCATATTGAGCAACAGGCAAAAAACGTGGTTCCGCCCGGGATCGAACCGGGGACCTTCTCGGTGTTAACGAGATGCCATAACCAACTAGACCACGGAACCAGGTGTTAGCTTTGATTGGCTGAAAGAGGTCTGCGAATTAGAGTTCAAGTTGATGACATTCCCAGCACAGATTGGCCAGGCTTGGTCGTCATGTTTTTAACGGTGAAGCTTATCAAGTTTGCAACGTCGCTGTGCAAATTGAGATAGATAATCAGAGCTGTTGAAAGGTTTTAAGATAGATATCAATTTAATCATGACTTATTCCTTGATTAATATGCCGCCATTCCCTGTAACGCCTGTGATCTTCGTATGTGTACCCCACCAAGCCCAAGCCCAATAATTTCATCACCATTCTGGTATAGCATCAAACCGGCAACCTCGTCTTAGCCCTACTCAACGTCTCAGCACACCTCCTCGCAATATCACTCTTCTTCCCCAAAATCCACAGAATCCTAATACACTCCTCCCCCCTCCCCAACCTCTCCTCCAACTCCTCCCCGGCACGATCAACCTGCAACAGCTCATTAACTTCCGCCATCCAATAATTCGCCGCTTTCGAAAACGCGCGTATCAGAATGACCGTCCACGGCTCCGTGAGTATCATGCACTGGTTGATAGCGTGGTGGAACTCTGAGAGCGTGGGAACGATAAAGGTCCTGTTGTCCGGGGCGGTCACGCGCGCTAGGTCCGATAGCTCTCGGGCGCTGCGCTCGCGGATCCGCATGACCCATTTGCAGTTGGAGCGGGATTGGCTGGGCGCGGGCAGGCCGAGGGCGTGCTCGTCGATGTGGTGGATTAGATCGGCGAGGAGGAGGACGCCGAGATTCCAGTGGGCGCAGATGCAGATGAACCAGCTTTGGATCCGGCCGGGGATGGAGTTGTAGTTCTGAAGAAGTTCTCTAAAGAACGTGCCACTAAATAGATCAGTACCGGTATATCGACCAGAGGTAGTGCAGACTTACTATGTCGTGTTCCAGTAGCGATAAACCCTTGCAGACCGTTCAATAAACTCCTCAATCTTCTCCCCAGACTCCCCCTGCCTCAGTAAATTCTGTAGATACGCTACATGTCGAAACATCAACACCTTGACCGGCGCAGATCTCGTAACCGCCTCAGCAGCCTCTTCGTAGGAACAAGGCCAGTGAACGTTCTGCCTCGGCTTCTCAAGACTATCCTGGATAAACAGCGGCACATTCCAATCTGTATCGCCACGCGCATCATCATGCTGACTATTGGCATCCACAACAACAAGCGGCCTCTCACTCATCGTCGAACTAACCGTATCAAACATCACCGTCAACCAGTACAGCAAACTCACAGTCCCGGCGTCCTCGCTGCTCATTGACGCCACGAGGTTGGCGCGCTTGCGGCCTTTGGTGAGACCTTTTCGCTCAGCGTCGAAGCGGTATTTCAAAGTGTGCATTTTTCGAGCTGCGCGCTCTATTAAGATGGGCGGGCCGTCGTTTTCGATTATGCTGGCGATTTCGTCGGCGACAGATTGCATATCATATACGTCTTCGAAACAGCCTGAGGTGTCGAGGTCGCTGTGCTCTGTGTCCTCGGGGTCAAGAGGTTTTTGGGTGAGGCCGAAGATCATTTCTGCGCAGACGACGCGGTAGGACTCTACATCTGCGACGTCATCTAGAGCGCGACGTGCTTGGTCCCAGATGTTGCGTTGGAGATGACGGTCGAATTCTTCTTTAAAGTCATCCATGTACTCGTTGAGTGGATTCCCTTCTGCGATGTCGTCTAGTGAGGGATATCGTTCTCTGTGTCGTCGTGAACTCTGCGCCCATTGTGTCGCGAACGCCATGATACAGAGATGAAGAGCTTTCGCAGTCGCCGAGTCTTGTTGACGAGTCATGTGAATCAATTGCGTTGATTTAGCCACGCGATCGAGATTCATAGTCCGTCGCAGAACTCGATTCGTCCATGAAGATCCCCATTCTGCCAGATTCCCTGGTTGAGAGACAGTCTTCTGCTGCCGACCAAACGGACACGTAACTTCATTCAACCAGCACGATAAATTATGTTCAAAGACATCGTGATAAATCTGCAGCAGATTCGTCGAGATCATCAGGTTATTAGACTTTGTCATCATCGACTGATCCATAGTGAAGGACGAAAGCGAACTACTCTGCGTATCGCTCCACGTAGTCGACACACGACGCCGTTTCGTCCGTCGCCAGTCTTTCTCATTATTCGGACTGACTGCAATGAGAGACTGTGCAGGCTCCGTGGGACTGACGGTAGGGAACTGCGACATTGATGCAGCGTCGAATTGAAGTTCAGGCGCGACAGTCGAGTCTTTGAAGAATTCCCAGGGTTCGCTCAACGGTTCCTCAGGTGCAGTAAGATCCTTGAATTGAATGCCGTAGAAATTAGAGTCAATAGGCTCTGTTTGTTCAGGCACGAAATCAAATGGTAACGCATCGAGTGAATTGTCGAGAAATGAGGGGACGTCTAGACTGGTGTCGATCTCTGAAAAGACTGGCACTGGAGGGAGGGACTGCGAAACAAAAGATTGCGCTGCTGATTGGGCATCAAAAGTGCTATCGTCTGGGACAATAGAGTTCGGTGTATCGCGTGTATTCTCTGTTGATGTCGATTCTCGTCGTGTAGAGGTTGAATCGCGCCTCGAGGGGACAATGCATTCAATACCTGGTTCACCCCGCGCAGCCGCAGCAAGAGCATAAGAGATCTGAATCTGCGTCCACGCCCAGTTCATGGTACATTTCTTATGAGTCTTGGTGCAGTACGAACACGGCGACGATTGAGCTAGAGGTGCTACACCATCTCGTCAGCACTATTACCCAACTGCACTGAAGCGGGAGCGGGGGATCTCACGCTTCTCGCCTACAATCATCTTGCCATCGCGGAGAGGGTCCATGTTTCTCGGCATCTCCAAGGGCGGAGCGTCGCAGCCCCTCTTTGACTTTCTACACTGATCGCAGGCATATTGCGTTCTCTTCATGGCTCTGTAACTGTAATGATGATGTCGATATAGGGGTCTTGGAGCAGAGATGGTAGCGTGAAAAATTGCATCAGCGACAAAAGTGGGCAGAACTTGGGTTAAAGCTCTCCCCCTCCCTCCCTTGCAGATATAAGGCCCCATCCCCCCTCTGGATCCCCGGATTCCTAACTGATCCGAGCGTTTGTTTCCCCGCGTTCTTTGCTCTTTTGGTTTAGTGCATCCAACCAAAGTTCGTGCTGCTTTGGAGGGGAGGGGACCCCTGGGAAATGTTGGCTTACGACTAGCAGCAGCCAGCAGCCTCATTCTCAACAATTTCATGGCCTAGATCGAGATGAGGAGAGTTTCTAGACGCTTCCAATATCGAGGTCAATGTGTAACTTTACGCGAGGCACTGAGGCTGTGAAATTTTAAACGGGCTACGCCGCAATGTCTTGGCTGACTCTTCGATTCTGACTCAAAACTAGCTTAGATCTCAAATCTCATCTCATCTACAGAACAGCCTTGTAAATCTCAGTCTCGACAGCGGCCCAGAGACCCAGGACCTTGGCATCAGCGAACGGCAGAATCTGTGTGCACACAATTCCTCCGATGCCGTGCTCGGGATCAGCCCACCACCAGCAATTAGCTAGCCCAGCCCACATAACCGTCCTCTTGGATCGCCCTGAGAAGCCTCCGTTGGTGAGCATGAATGTCAATCCCCAGCCCTGCAAGTCCAAATGGTTAGTGTGCCTGCTGAAATGCGGGGGGAAGGGAGCGTCGTACCTGGGGTGGATTTCCGTCGACGGGGTATAGCTCGCCGACTGGGTTGGTCAGATCTGGTTTGGCTGCTGGGATGGGCTGACGGCTGAAGTTTGGGAATTTCTCGATGCTGTTGCTCAGCATGAGATCAACCGTTTCCTTCTTGAGGATCTGAGCGCCTGTGTTGGGACATGTTCCGCCGTTGAGCAGAACAGTAAGAACCTCTGCTTTGATCAGCATCCATTCACCCGTATCAATGATATCAATGTATACTCACTTCCGTACTCTTGGGGCTGCGCAAACATTCCCGCGCCGCCGCTATGGAAGATTGAAGCGATTTCGCTCGCATTGTCAGTCACTAGAGGAAGACGCTGTAAATGATCGCGCGTTCGCAGTTTACCGTCTGCGTCGCGCTGATGCATGTGAGCTAGCTTGGCGCGCATTTCTTTACCGGGAAGCATGGTCATTTTTTTGATGCCCAGAGGCTGAAAGACGTTCTTCTGGAGATAATCATTCAGACGAAGACCGCTGGCTCGTTCAAGCGCGATGCCAGCCCAGTCAATTCCGACCTGAAATATTAGTAGACGTTGAATGAGGCGGAAAATGTACTTACACCGTATTCCCAGCCTTCACCGGGCTGGAACAGAAGAGGAAGCTTGACGATATCCTCAATACGACCAGAAAACTCATCAATGCCAGCAGGATGGCTCCAATCCCTCAACCGCTCACTGAAAAACGTATATCCAAAGCCCGCAGTATGCGTCAGTAGCATCCGCAGTGTAATCAGATTCTTCTTCTCCTCAAAGCTCCCATCAGGTTTCAAGACCTTCAGGCTCTTGAGCTCAGGCACGAGATTCTCAAGATGGTTACCGTCATCGAGCTTCAGCTTTCCCTGCTCTACGAGCTGCATGCACGCAACACCAGCAAGCATCTTGGTGCACGAAGCGATCCAGAAGATGTTGTCCAGTGTCATGGGCTCATTGGCCCCGACACCGCGCGACCCCGCAGAATGAGCGAATATCTCACCGGATTTGTCGACCAGTACGACCGTGGTACCGGGAATACCAGTCTTTTGGTCGGCGCATGCATCGTCGATTATGCTGCGCAGCTTGGATGTTGCTTGGGCAGTGATAGGCATGTTGGAGTAATACAAACGTAACTTGAGATTATGAACGGGGGCTGGCTGATCAATTGTTGCAGAATTGTCTGCAGTACCCCTAGTGAAGCTATCTATTTATACTGCTAGTCGACAATGGCGCTATGATTCTAAAGTAGCGCAGCCTTGGCTCGTGGCCCGCGCCAGCTCACAAAGGTTTATTTAGTCATATGACAGGATACCACCCGCATACAGCACCATACTCTATTCTGTCTCGACCCCGCCTCCCCCGCAATCTAACTTGGTTCTGTTGACGCGAAAACACCAAGGATTCCAGCGTAAATCCCTTCCCCAACCTTGCGGACCCGCATCCGCAGATACGAGTGCACAGACGAGGGGTAAAAAGCTTAAAGCACAACAAACAAAAGGGCCCTGTCCAGCTTAACTCTGAATTCTGAGGATGCGGCGCCGCGTGCGCTCGGCAGTTGACGGCGTCCGAGGCCCCGTGGGGTTCGATCCGGGGTAGACGTAGAGCGTGCGGGGAAAGGACGACGTGCTGTAACCTCGCTGTGTCTCGTTTGGTGGCATTGCAGCTGCGCGTGGTGGATGTGACGAGGCGGATGCGGGTACGCAGTTACGCAGGGCGGAACGGAGGCCGGTTTGGCTTTCACATGATGCTACTGTAGAGTTTCACGGAGAATGCAACGTGTTTCGATTTGATGAACTGCAGGACCAACATGCATGAATAATGGTGTTTATAAACTGCTTGCATGTCCTGTAACATTCTCTCATCACAAGCAAGTCTTTTCATCTCATCAAGCATTACTCTTTTATCAAACATACATTTACAATGGGCGAGAATATCCCAGTTCATAAAAAGTTCAATACTGAGCTTACGGATTACTCCGTCGAGCATCATGGCGATAAAGGTGTCTATGCCGATAATCTCGAGGTAGACGCTCTTGTCGTCGGTGCTGGTTTCGCTGGTGTCTTTATGCTCAAGACCCTCCGTGATCGCGGCTACAAGACTGTCGTTTACGAAGCTGGCAACGATACTGGCGTAAGTAAATCACATGCTAATTTAAGCATTGAAGGCTGACGGAATAGGGCACTTGGCGATGGAACTGCTACCCCGGTGCTGGTGTCGACTCCGAAGTCCCTGAATATGAATTCAGCTGGCCTGAGGTTTACGATACCTGGACTTGGCCTTGCAACTATCCTACCTACGCTGATCTCCGCGCTTACTTCGATCATGTTGATAAGGTCCTTGGCATCAAGAAGGATATCGCTTTCAACACTGTCGTTGTAGGCGGCAAGTTCGACACCGAGAGCGGCCGCTGGCATATCCGCACTGCAGACGGTCGAGTCGCCAAGGCCAAGTATCTCGTCCTCGGAACCGGCTTCGTGAGTCCCCCTACAATCACTCACAGCGACTTGCGACTAACCTCATAGGCTGCCCGTCGATACATCCCCGACTGGCCCGGCATGGACAAGTTCAAGGGCATAATCCACCACTCCTCCTTCTGGCCCGACGAAAAGGTCGACGTCACCAACAAGCGCTGCGCCATCATCGGCACCGGCGCATCAGGCGTACAGATCACACAGGCCTGGGGTCCCGAAGCCGGCCATCTCAAGGTCTTCCAACGAACCCCCAACCTTGCTGTCCCCATGCGCCGCAAGTACCCCTCCGCCGAAGAGCAGCAGCAATCCAAGAAGTTTTACCCCGAGCTGTTCCGCTACCGTGAGGAGAACTTTGCCGGCTTCCACTATGACTGGTATGAGAAGAACACGTTTGATGACACGCCTGAGGACCGCGAGGCTCTGTACGAGAAGGTCTGGCAGGAGGGCGGTTTCAGATACTGGGTTGCCGTGTACAAGGACAACTTGCTCAATGCGGAAGCGAACAAGGAGTCGTACAAGTTCTGGGCCAAGAAGACGCGCAACAGGATCGGTGACCCCAAGAAGCGAGATCTTCTTGCGCCGACGGTAGACAACATGCCACATTACTTTGGTATTAAGCGTCCGTGCTTGGAGTATGATTACTACGAGCAGTTCAACAGGGAGAATGTGGATGTCGTTGATATCAAGAACAATGCGATCAAGGAGTTTACCGAGACGGGTATTACGCTTGAGGACGGAACGCATCATGAATTTGATGTCATTGCTGTTGCGACAGGATTTGTAAGTCCTCCGAAGGAATCTTGGTGAAGGAATGATGCTAACGTTGATAGGATGTCGTCACTGGTGGTGAGTACGGTTTTACGAGGGAGAGTTGAGTTGCTAATGATTTTAGTGATGACGCAGCTTGGTCTTCAGAGCATTGAGGGCGCTGAACTCGAGAAGGAATGGAAGACTGGCGCGACGGTATGTATCTCCTCGTGAATCTTTGCTCAGCGCTGACATGTATAGACCTACCTCGGCGTGACGACCCCCGGCTATCCCAACATGTTCCATATCTACGGTCCTCACGGCCCAACCCTTCTCAGCAACGGCCGTAAGTCCTCTGTCATCACTCCTGCGTAATCCTGACTAACAACCGCCAGCTACATCCGTCGCCGTCCAAGGCCGCTGGATCGTCGATGCCATTGACAAGATCAAGAACAATGACATCAAGTACATCAACCCCACCAAGAAGGCCAGTGAGGACTGGAAGAAGCACATCGTCGAGCTTAACAACAGGACTCTGTTCCCCACCACTCGCTCCACGTAAGTCTCCTCACTTTCAACATACATAATGTACGGACATTTGCTGACGATGGGGGTAGATACATGGGCGGCTCTATCCCTGGTAAGATTTACGAGCCTGTTTGTTACTCTGGTGGTATTCCTGCGTACAAGATTGAGATTCGTGAGGCGCTTGATAGCTTGAAGGGATTTGATGTCGTCAAGAACAAATAGATTTGACATTGGGTTTGTACTCTGGCTATCTCGAGCTCTTGCTGGAGTATAAAGTGTTGGTAGATCTCAGCTTTAGTTATGAATTTATGTTTTGTTCACATACTCTTGCGAGTTGCGTTAGGTCGTTGGAGTGATGTCCTTGTCTTGTGAGAGACTATGAGTCTTGATTCGTTTGCGCCGTACTTGGAGGCTCTCTTTGAGGCTTTGCAAGCGCCTTGACCCTGATGGCTTTTGTAGAAGTATCTAGATTGAGGTAATGAGCAGTAAATGAGGTTTCCGCCTTGATTACAGGCCATGCGCTTATATCAGTGAAGTGTTGGCTTCTACTACTACCATTTCAATCGCGGCGTTGAGAACATACCTTGATGTCTACTCCACCAAGACATACCTAAATCACGAATGCCACGTCGCGTTCGGCTACGTGATGCATCAATTACCTGGCCATCTTCCAACGATCGTATGCCAATCTAAATGTCGTCGCGTTGATCTCAACTGCGCAGTGAATCGTCACAGTATTTGCCATTCTTCATTGAGCTGTATCTGAGCCGACTGAGGCAAGCGTCCCGCGTATTTATACCCCAGTCGCATCGCGTCAAATGGTGACATTCAATCGCACGCACGTCATCCGGCAGTTCCGCATCACATCGCATTCCCAAGATGAAATCTTGACATCTATTTCGCAATTGGAACATCTCAGGCTGCATCTCCCGGCGGGTATGGATGGTCTGACGGGTAATCCGGCTGTACAGGCAAACTTCGGCAACGCGACGCGCAACTCGGCACAGCAACTGTCTATGCACAAAGCGTTCCTCTACTCGTCGCGATGAAGCCGATCATCACGAATGTCCACATCTCCAATTGCATATCCACAATGATCGAATATTCACAAGATCAAATTCTTTCCTCGGTAATGACTTGGATAAATAATACCAGCCCAAATTCTCATTATGTCATAATTTCGGAACCTCCAACACCGAACAAACCCCGTGATACAAAGCCATCCAACCACAATAGGAAACTACCCACAAATACCCGTGCCTTCGAATTTCTGTTACGAAATCGTCTCGCGAAGATGCCAATAACAAAGCGAGCCCGGCTCAGACGGCCTTGTAACGTATTACTCACTCTTCTTGCCCTGGCATTATTCGGCATTATGGAAGACTTTGTTATGCTGTCATTTGGTGCATCTCCGCGGCTTTGGCCAGTGGTATAAGGGCGTTGGCCTGCTCTTTTTGGCTGAGGGTATCGTCAGACATTCATTAACAGAGTTTGGACACGCGATGGGATAGACAGACAAACGCCATCATTCCTAATTTTACGTCACATTCAGTGTTTGATCCATTTTCCCTCTTTCATCATCGACTCTTCTAAATCACCTGATTACCCCGGACTTTTCATCTTAGATCGGACCATCTCATCTCAGATCTCATGTCGCGCCTCAACCCAACATCGTGGACTTTCGATATCGATCGATACATCAATCCATTTATTCCATCGCCGCCATGGCAACATATCCCATATCCTATCGCATACATCTTTGGATACCGACGCGATAAACCAAAGAGCATAGGCACAATTCTACCAGTACTATGGGCGTTTATCGGAATATTCATCGCCCTCTCAGTAATTGAACTGGCATCTGAGCGCATTCCCTCTTTCGTTGAGCGAGGCGCTCCCATAATCGTTGCATCTTTTGTAAGTTATCTTTCACTATGCTTTTGATGAGTGACGATGCTAATCATGTAGGGCGCTGGCGCTGTTCTCGAGTTCTACGCCATCGAATCTCCCCTCGCCCAACCACGAAACTTCTTCGGCGGCCAACTCATCGCCGCCACAATAGGCGTCAGCATAGGAAAGCTCTTCCTCCTCAGCTCAGACTTCCACTCCATCCAATGGCTCGGCGGCGCCATATCCTGCGCGACCGTAACGTCCATAATGGCCCTGACAAAAACCATCCATCCCCCCGCCGGCGCAACCGGTCTTCTCGCCGTCGTCGACAACCGCCTCCTCGATCTCGGCTGGTTCTTCATCCCCGTAGTGCTATTCAACTGCACGATAATGTTTGGCGTTGCGCTGCTGGTTAATAACATCCAGCGCGCGTATCCGGTTTATTGGTGGACGCCGGAGGACTTGAGGGGGGTTAAGACGGAGGCGCAGAGGGGGAGTGTTGATGAGGAGAAGGGGAGGGCGACGGAAGAGAGTGATTCGGAAAGGCATGAGAGGCATGATGGGAGGGAGATTATTATGAAGCCTGGCGGGAGCTTGGTGCTGCCGCAGAATTTGTTCCTCATGCAGGAGGAGTTGCAGTTGTTGGAGGAGATTGCCAACCGTTTATAGGTTGCTTAAAAGTATCGCATTGCATAGCAGTCCATTTAAAAACAATTAGTCTGGTCTCATTCATGGTATCAAAACATTATCTCGTGACTCATTGGTCGTTTCTCATAAAGACAAGACATGCCATTCCCGTAACGTTCATAGTGCCAAACCAGTACATCGCCTCATCTGACCAAAATCATGTCCTCCATGCTCAGCCAGCCTTTCTCCTACAAAAAGCAGTCAACAATATCATATCAGTCCAATGTCAACATGGAATCTCCTCTGATCTTTCGAAAGCTGTCCTGCCCGTGAGGCTACACTTTACCGTAAAGGGTAATTTGGCAGATATCGCCAACCAATCAACGTGCCCCATATGCCTTAGTACAACTCATAAGGGCTCAGACGACCACTCTGGTCTTGCTCTCGAACGCTGAATCTCTCAACATACCGCGGCGCAGCATGGAACCGACGCCCCCGCGACACGGGCATGCTATTGCAAGGCGCGTTCTCGCCGTCTCGCAGCCGCTGTTCATGCTGTTGCTGAAGCCCATCCACATGACGCCGGTACTGTCGCAGCTCGAAATGCTGGTGTTGCATTCGACGGCGACGGAGCATTTGGGCGTGACTAATCGCACGCCGCTGATTTCCACGGTTGATGAAGAACTGGAGATTACGACGAATGCCATGGCCATTAACGCGTCCTCCGAGCGTGTTTCTCTGGGGACTGGTTCGTGGGGAGGGCGCGCGAGATGGGATGGGTCGTTCCATGTCTTCGGGGGATGGCTGGGGAGGGGACAGGTCGGGTGCGGCGTAGAAGCGGGGGATGTCATGGAGTGAGGGAGACCCTGGTGATCGAGGTATCTCTATGACATCGTCGTCAGTCTCTGGAGAAGGCTCCGGCTTCACAGTGGCGGTTGCTTCATTATCAACCAAGTGGACGTCTGCCTCTACAAGATTGGCTGGAGAGGGGGTTTGTGAACGATGAAAGGGAGGGATGTCGTAAAGGTATGGCGATCGAGGTGACTCGGGTGCTACCAGGGTATCAGGCGACGCAGGCTCAGCCTTGACAACGGCGTTTCCTTCATGCTCCGGAGAGTTGACGGCTCTTTCTTCAGTATCGGGCTCAGGAAATGCATCGAAGGGGAGAAAAAGTCCAAATTCCCACGGATACCTTGGTCTTCGAGGTGGAAACTCAACCTGTGGCAGCACACCGCCGTTTGTCCGCATCTGAGCGAGGACATGCGACATATCTCTATGCAACATCTCACCCATATAGGCGACCCATCCTTGGTACATAAAGTCGTAGTGCTCTTCTTCGTCATCCATCCTGATGTCGGGACCGGATGAGACTCGAGGGTTTTGGGGCTCGGGGCTTGGCTGTAAAGAAATGCGTGATGGATACTTGGTCTTGGAGTACTGGGTTTTGGCGTCCGTTGGGTATTGGCTAGAGTATACCGCCACATCGTTAGAAGGAAAGACTCATCGTGGATGACGAGACATACCGACTAAGTGAAGGATAGTGAAAGCCTTTGGTGAATATGAAGTACCGAAGTCCCGATGGGGAGTTGAGAAGGACGAGAGACTTTGATGGCAGGCCTCAATAGCTTGAGATGTTGATGAGGTTGAGGATAAATGAGATGATAGAAGGTGTTGTGAAGGTTAAGAGTTATGGGATGTCAAACACGAATGCGACATTCAGAAGAGGTCAGATGTGAGGAGTACATGGATGGAACTAGATGGTGCCTGGCTGCCTCAGATGCCAGTGCTAGTGCCAGCTGGCATTAGTCCCTGTGACATATGTCCAAACGAACACAAAGCTCAGTGCCCTAGTTCCACTGGCAAGTCTTGATGTTTATTGCTGCCTGCTGAGATGTCTGTTCGCTTGCACAACGCTGTTCAACTTTATTTGTTCATGATCGCTGAACAGGTAGCCATCTACGACTAGCAGAACATTTGAAGCATTTGTTCGAGCTTAAATAGACTTGATCTGAGTAGGTGGCAATAATAAATGTACTTACTTTGATTTTGAACCCAACGCCGTAGTAAACAGATCCGCCGCAAACATCAGCAACCCTGGACGGAAGGTTTATTATTACGATCACGGAGAAGGCTTTCTACTTGCAACGATGAGTCGATGGCGTAGGAACTAGATACTCCTCCAGTCCCTGAAGGCATGTAATAGCGGATAAAATAACTCAGCTGGCAAGGTCTTTCTCTTCAGATACAGGCAGCGCCGAGTCTTGATAGCCGACAAGCCAGTCAATCTCCAGCATGTCAATCGCTATCACGCTGGCCTGTTGTGTTTCTGCATACTGCCAAGAGGAGAGAACTGGCTTTCGCCACCTCTCGTGCCAATGGATATCCACATCAACCCGTTTCTTTGGCATCCCCTATGACCTACAGCAATGGTGCATCTCAAAACACTCCAATTGGTTGAACCCTCGACAGAAAACCCGCTCTTAGGTGTTCCCAAACATAGACCAGACCAACGGTCGCAACAACTCAAGTCAGCTTGTTTAATTTAAGCCCGACCTCCCGACTTGCAAGTTAGGAAAAATCGCCATAACTTAAGGCTATAAAGGTCCTGACTTATAAGTCTATAAGTCTATATAGTAATATTAGTAATATATAAGTACCTCTTATTTTTTTTTATTTTTAGGCTCTTTTTATAATAAAAATAGCATATTTAGGGTAGGATTTTTAGTATTAAAAATCTTAGTTAGTAAAACCCTAGTAAAATCCCTTACTTTCCTACCTTAATTTCCTATAGTATGCCAGGCATGCCTAAAAGGCTAGCTTTCTTTAATTATTACTAAATTGCCTTTTTAACCTTATTTTAAACTGTATTTTTTCTATAATATTATAGTAATATTAATATTACTATTATTAATATCTTTTCCAGTATTATTAAAAATATTAATAACTATATTTTCTTTTAATTTAAAGCCCCCCTTAATTACCTAGTAGCTAGGCTAGATTTTCCTGCTAAAGAAGGGGCATTACTTTTAGCTATTAGACCTTTTAGTACTTTACTATAAAAAGTACCTATTTATACTAAAGAAATAGGTATATAAGCATATACCTTACTATAGCTAGGTTCTTAATTATAGTTATGCCCTTATATTAACTGCTACCTATTAATACTACTCTATTAGTATAGCCTTTTAGCTCTATAAGATATATAATATAAAAGGTAACTTTAAAGATAAATTATATAACTTCTTTTAGGTATCTTTATTATATACTAAGCACCTAAGACTAGCCTATAGGATTATCTAAGCCAGATATAGTTCTAAAGAGCTAATATTACCGTTATAGCCTTCCTTATAGCTATCTATTAAGGCAGCTTTTTAAAATACCCCCCCTATACTTATAGTTACCTCTTTAGTTAAGAGCTTTTATAACTGCCTTTTTAGCTAGATTATTACTATAGCTATCCCCCTTAATATTATTATATATAGCTATTTTTATAGCCTTTTACAGATATTACCTAAGATTATTAAAGCAGCCTTCCTAAAAGCCCTTAATACAGTTAAAAATTAGCTACTTAAAAGCTATGCTAAAAAGAAGGGTATTATTACTAAAAAGCTACTTATAGCCTCCTCCTTAATTAGCTTATCCTTTAACCTATAGACCTCCCTAAATAGCCATGCTATTTTAGAAGTACTTGCCTACTATATTACAGTAAAGGGATTCCTAACCTATAAGGTTATTACTTTTTAAAAACTTAAAGAAGCCTATTTTAATAAAAATCAGGCTATTATTATTAATAATATATATAGGTTATTTAAGCTCCCCTTATATAAGCTTAGTTTCTTTACCCTTAATAATATTAAATTAAATACTATATGCTTTATAGCCTTTTTTTATAGGCAGTTAAGTTACTTCTTATTATACCTAATTAATAAGCAAGTATAAACTTATTAGCTTTAGTATTAAGGTTATATTATTAATCTTATAGCTAAAGCTTTACTTCTTACCCCTTAGCTTCCTGCCTAATTTACCTCTAATTATATAAATAACTATAAGGAGACATAGCATGCCCTAGGGGTAATAAGAAAGCTATATAATATAGTTTAATTTATACAAAAAACACTACAGCGCTGCAAGCTTTGGTTATGTTAAGGCTTGAATAAAATAGCCGATAAATTC